TAAAAAAAGTAAAAAAAGTCAAACTCGCCCATCATTCGCCCAGCGTTCCCACGAAGTCTTGAACCGCCTCAAAGATCTCCGCGCCTGGGCTAACGAAGAGGCCACTATCACCTCCTCGCCGCCAACCCGGTGGCAGGACAAAACCTCGCGCCGTAGCGAGTCCGCGCCAGCGCAGACGCCAACCGGGATTTCCGCCACTCCCTTGCCAATCGTCAAACCCTGCCCGGAGGATTCCAGCTTGAAATGCACCGTCAAGGAACTTTCCTGATAGGGCACACCTTGAACGGCTTCCCATATCCAGGGTCGCCGTCGCCCACGGGTCGATTCCCAAACTCCGATTAGACCTTTCATTTTCATCAATACCTCTTCTTAAACGAGCGCGGCACTCTCCACGCGCCCTGCGCTGTGGCCCCGCCAGTCGATCCCCACGTGTGCCATATTCAACCACCCCGTTGACCGTCATATAGGCAGGTCCGGGCGTTCCGCGCATTCGCGCATGATGGCGCTCGATAGCCTGGGGTATACGCCTCGGGTGTTCTTGGCCATCCTTGCCAGCACGCCGATAGTCCAGCCTCGTTCAGCACGCCCTCTTGCTCTGGCGATTGGGGCAGCTTGCAGTAGTTGAACACCATGGCCGCCGGCCCTGATACCGTTCCTCGATGGCGTGTGTGGTGCGCCCGTCTCGTATGTCTGTCATACGGGGTGGTGGCCTATCCTTCAGCCCCCGATGTTGGGTTCCGAGCTTAGTGGCCCATATATGCTTGCAACTCATACAGAAGAGTCTTGGTCTTGCGTGCGCTGTGATTTCGAGGCTTTAGTTGTAGTCAAGCAGCCAGCTTCTACCCAGCCGGAACTGCTCGGTGGGGGAGGGACGTTACCAACCCCTGTACACTCTTGCCGCCGTGGTCCCAAGCAACGCTAACGTGTCTGCCCCTTATGAACGTTCGACTTAGCCAGTCCTCAAGCGCTCTCATTGTCCCGTCCCTAAGCTGGCCCTACTCGGTTCTACACAGTCCTAGAGCCAACCCAGCCTGTCAATGCCTCCGTCATGGTCCTGCTAGGACGGTTGTCGCCTGTTCTTCTGTCGCGCAGTTTCTAAACTCCGCGGATTTTCCTCTCCCTCTTCGAGTGCTTCCATCATAATACCAGCCTTTGGAAGATGGCGGACGCTCCATACCGACTTGCGTCACTTGCCGAAGAGACAGTAACGCACCACTTCGTCGTTTCGCTTCACCACCAAAACCCCCCCATTTGTCCTTCAATTCTATCTGAACATCGTGTGCGCGCTGTCGGCCAGCGTTGCGTCCCGGCGAGCCCCGCCGCTACACCGACGATTACCACAATGCACACAATTCGCATTATCCGGGATGATCGCGGGACTCCACCAACAGAAGATAGCTGCCCCTGCGCGTCCCTCAGGCCCCCTGATAACCTTTCTCGTGACGTGGTTGGCCTTGCCAGTTCGATGTTTTTTCATTGGCCATGATGTTCCTTTCCTTTTCCGCTCCTTCTAATGCCCTGCCGGCTTCCACCAGTTCAGGCCTTTAACTTCCACTATGCGAGCCAGCTACCAAGTGTGCGCATCTTTGCCGTTGAGACTCAACGCCCATCCGTCCTCCTTCAGTTGGATATTCTTGTCTCTGCCGTTTCCCTCGGATAAGGCTAACGCGGCCCCTCATATCCCCCACGGTACTGCCCGCCTGTACGCGCCCTCTACCCCCATTGGCAAGGTCATCATGGCTCGTCCCGATCAAGGTAAAGGCCCCTTCAGCCATTTGCAGCGGCGTAGGCGGCCTTGGCGTGTTCGAGGTGTGGGTCGCCAAGGCTTTTTGGCGATGGCTCGCAACGCTCGCAGTTATTCTTGATTATTTCGAATCGGCTTTTGCCCTTCCTGTATGGTGGTCAATACCGCCGTCCCGCAAAACTGATAGACACTTCACCATTGGAACGGCTTTAGCAGCTCCTACTAAACGATGTGGCTTGCATCCGCCCTCCGTCAGCTTATTGGGGGGAGAATATTGTGGAGTTGCTGGCGGGAACGTGGCGCGTTCGATGGTGGAATTTCCAATGGCTGCCTGTTAGGTTGGCGCATAATCCGCGCTCCCCGTGGGCTTTTTCGGCACTGACCCACCACGGCCCGCCATAGGTAGGTATCAGGGTTGCGGCAGATCATCCTAACTTCTCCACGTCCACCCCTTGATTCCCGCTTGGCACGGTAGGCCCGCGCCTCTGACGCCCTCGTTCTTTCTCCAGCCCGTCAACGCTTATCAGTGTTTTTGTTCCCGGTGGTGTCGGATGCCCTGCCCGTACCGCTCCCTTGCGGAAACGCCGACTTCCATGCATTCTCACACTCGCACGCACTGCCAACGGTGAGCGGACGAGACTAATAATACCGCCAACGCACTCGGGAAAGCCTTGAACTTGCTCCCAAAGTTCGGGTCGTCGGGCATTTTCAGGTCCATGGCACGCGGGATCCGTGTACTAGTATTACCAAGTCGTTTTTGCTCTATGTGCCCCTTTGGTACTATAGTGCAAACCGTCCTTTGGTAGTCCAACGTATCGTTCCGCCTGCGGTGCCACGAGGGATTCACGGGGCATGATGGCGTTCCGGGTGTTCCGAGCGGTAACATACCCATTCCAGGAATTCGTTCGGCGCTGTCCGCTCCGGGGTGTCCGGCAAATGGTAGATTCCATCCAATTAAGGGCGGCGCCAGCCCGTCGCCAAATGTGCCTGAATCCCGCAGCATCCTCGCGCGGGCAGGTGTGCCCTGCGAACATCCACTCGCAGGCGCATTCTGATTCTGCTGGCCTTCCTGGCCGCCGGTCCGCAGTTCCCGTCGTCGTGCATAACGGCATACTGTTTTTCCGGTGCGTATTGGTCTGTGTTATACTACCCATTGTTAGATCCTCTTTTTATGACTTGTAATCCCGGCTGTGTGGTCGCCGTGTTTTCCTATTTAATGGGTTACGGCTCTGCTACTGGCCCCTCACGTCAGGAGTCTGCCAGTCTTTGAAAATGTCCGATTCGCGCCCCCCCAACCGCACAGCCCTCTCGCCAACCTTCAGGGTTGCGGGAACCTGCCCCCGCCCGTATCATCCGATTAGATCGAAACCTCTGTGTAATCCAGCCATTCGGGAACCTCTCATATCGAAAGCACGTCACCTTGTGCATCCTGCCTCCTGTGCACTACTGTGCCCCATATTGTAGGAGTGCGATACAACGATTGGTCAATGGGTTATCGACGAAAATAACAAACACCCGCCTATTTCCGGCGTGTCGTTGACTGGGCGCTGGTGGCGGTCTACTGTGTGTTACGTGGGCGCCCCACTTGTCCTGATTCTCGCGGCGAAGGTCGGGATGTCTGACCGCCGTAGGCATGCTCTACCAACTCGCCGCCGACTTTATGGCCAGCGTACTTCCGCCAGTTCCCGTCAATATTGTTGTTCGGCGCAGCCAGCCCCGGAATGAAGTACCGGAATCCGTGTACGGTGTATTCTCGCTTTGGTGGCGGCGCCGGAGTGTCCTGTACCAGCGTCGCCGCGAAAACGCCTTGCGCTCGGTGTGGCGAATATCGCCCACGCCGCCCTGATTGCATACGCCCCGTTCAGGATTCCATAGCGGCCGTCAGACGCGGTACAAGATGCCCTTGACGACTTCATCATCCGACTGCCCGGTATGGTCCATGTCTTGCCGTCAGGTCGATTTTCTGCTTCCCACGTGCGCGCGTACCTCGGTCATCTGGAAGGCGTTAGCAAACTATGAATTCAATGCCTTTTGGAAGTACGCCGCCGCCCGTGTCCTCACACGTCACGCCTTGACCGTTTCGGGACATCCTGCCATGGGCAGTGCGTTCCATGATGTCACGCCGCTTGCCTGTTCCCCAATGCGCCCGTGCTTGAGTCGGCGGGATTCTCGGTATGAATCCTTGCGCCCTTCCCCAATCGAAAATCATTTTCAGGATGACGTGACCCGTCTGTGGGCGGGTCCCTTCTTGTCATGCCGAATCGGCGTAAGGCAGGCCACCACGCCCCGGCTGTGACCTTGGCCCTAGGCGTTCCTTCCCAATGGTCGGCCGGCAAGTACTCTTTGGTCGCATGGCCCGGCCTGTTCTGTTAGGCTTGCGCCCTTCCAGCCCCCGCGTGTGCGGCTGGTAGCCTCGGCGGCGCTGGCGAACGTGGGGATCATCCGCCGTTGGCCGCTTGCTGTGCCCTATGTCACGCCTGAGCACTAGTCGGGCCATTGTCGAATGCCTATTTCCCTTCGCACGTGCCAATACACCAGCGGAAGCTGCCCAGCCCGATTTAAGCCTGCCCGTCCATCCTGAGCGTTGCGGCGCCCATGCCTTACTGCTGAAGCCGCCCCTAAAACCAGTCTCGCGCACCAGTAGGGATAGCCCGTAACTTCCCTGCCCCGCCGATCTCCGTACCGTCCAGGTTCCTTACTGCTTGACGAAGGCTGCGGTCCAGTGTTGGCGCGGTCGCTCGATTTCAGTGGTCATCTCGTATCACCTTATGTATCACTTACCAGTGATACTAAGCAGTTGCAGGGTATACGTCCAAGTTTACATCATTGGCTGGATTGCTACTGATTTGCTATGTGGGATACTGCCAGCTACCTTAAAAATTTCCCTGATTGAGAGCACCACGTTGGAGCCTGTAATGGTGGCCATGCTTAATCCCTCCTACTTTATCTCTATCTTGTTAAGTCAGTCGCTCGCCTGCCCGTTGGCAGGGATGGTCAGTGGTTCAAGTACATCGAGCAGTACAGCCATATCGTTGAGACCTAACCCAATGGCATGATCGCTCAAGAAGCGCTTGCGCGTGTAGAAATTTTGGTGCAATTCGTATGCAACGGCGCGAAGCACTCTCAATCTATCATCCCCTGTAGCATCGCTGGCGTTTTGCAGAACCACACTAAAATGAGCGTGTTGGCTGTACTCCCAGCCCTGTGTGACCGCTACTGCCTTTGCCATCCATGCCGCGGCACCCCACCCTTTCTCCGACGCCTGGTGCAGATCATCAACAGCAAGATATTCGCGGGCCTTGCCCAGGAATTCGCGCGCTTGCTGGCGGTAGTCTTCCACTGCGAGCGGGTCATATTCTTCGGAAAGATTGATCTGCGTCATGGGTAATTGGTCCTCGGGTCACTAGCCTTCCATTTCCATACCCGATTCTAGCCCAATTGTCGGACGGTTCGCCAACCTTATGCTCTGCGAGGTTCAGATGCCTCGGGACAGACGCTCCATTTCGAGGGCGAACCAGAGGGCCATGCCCCGCTGCGGATGTGGGATTTGGTTTATTACGTTCGAGAAATTGTCAGGATCAGGGTTGGGGGATCGTATGTAATGAAATAGGAATCTCAGTTGGGGGTTTTGGGTTCGGACGAATTCGGGACATACGGGGAGGGAAAAGGCGTATTCGGAGGGGGGTAGAAGTTAAGGTAACAGGAATATTTGGGTGTGGGTAAAGTACCGTGACGTAATATGTATGGGTTCGAGCGCTTGTGAGGTTCGTTGTGATTAATATGTGACCGGTGGGGCATCCGAGGCTGATGGGCGTGGAGAGAAGGAGGAGAAAAGGAGAGGTGAGGCTGGGGCCAGGAGGTCGGGGGTGACAATGCGACATGGGGGACGATGGTATTTATATATGAATCTCTTTTATTAGGCGTATCCTTATTGTAGGTTGATTTTGTTTAATGAGGGTGTGTGTTAGGAGTGTAGGATTTGCATGGTGTGACGATTTTAGAAATAGGTGAATGAGAGACCTTGGCTAGGTGGAATAACGGGGGGTGAGGGGGAATTGACTATATTGGGATTGCGTATATAAATACTGAGTAGACTGATTGTAAGATGCTGAATTCAGAGGGGGGGTTGGGGACTAGGTGTGTGTAATGCAAGTGTCATCTCGAGTGGATAGGTGAGTGGAGAATGAAAGAGAAGTAAGGGGGGCTTTATCCAGGTAGGGGAGTCGTTGGGGGTATGGAATATGCAGTGGGGAGAGGGGAAGAGGGTCTAAAGGAGAGTATGCGTGGATGGGTTGGATCTGTTGTCTATCCATTCCTATCTTTCTTTGACTGCTTTTCTCTTTCCATCTAGGCGGACGTCTGCTGCACCCCTGTGCTGGCGCAGGCGTCAACCACGTTGCCCACGTCGTCGATGCGTTCCGAGACTCCCTGCCAGGCAAGGTCTAGAGTGGTTCGCCATTCGTCGTCCAGCCATCCCCGCCGCAGCCCTCTAGCGATGGAGTAGCCCATCATGCAGGTGGCGGTGAATTCGTCGTAGGAGCCAGGGAAATCCAGTACCTGGGGCAACATACCCGACTGGCGCTGCAGGTCGCGAAGGGAATCCAAGAGGTCCAGATACATGTCGGTTATGTCAGGCCGAGTTGGATGGTCGTCAGGGAGGTAGGTCAGGGTCTCGGTCAGGCCCAAGGCAGCGAAACCATTGCCCCGTCCCCAGTAGAACGGGGCCGGGCGGCAATGCCAGAACAGGCCGTTGTCCTGCTGGATATCCGCGTCCAACAGGAACTGAGCGAGGATGTCTACGTAGCGTTTCTCGGCGGTATGCTGAAAGGCACGTCCCAGCAATGCGCCAGCCATGAACATGTCCTCGGTACGGAATTCAGGGTCGCAGGGGACGGGAGCCTCTCCCGACGATGCGGGCTGGAACCGACTGGCCGCCTGAACGATCAGGTCCGAATATCGGGAGTCGCCAGTGGCCTGGGACAGTTCGTGGCCCCAGACAACCGATGCTAGCGCGGACGGGGCCAAGCCATCACTGAGCCCTCCCTGTACAAAGTTACTGAGCAATTCAGCGATACCCGTCGACGGGTCGCCGCCGTCCGGGTCAAGCTGGGCGAGTTGGAGGCGACCGCTGATGGGGACGCCCTGGGTGTAGACGACGGGATCGAAGGTGTGCCCGTATGCAGCAGCGAGGATTCGGGCGATTTCCAGTGGGCTGCGGGTCCGACGACGGTCGAGGACCTGGCGCGCCGGGGACTTACCGGCCATGCCGGCCTGTTGCAGCACGCCGAACAGCCGGCTGATCTCACGGGGCAACTGGTCCTCTGAGGCGGTCAAGCGAAGGGCCGGTATAACACCCAATCCTTCCGGGTAGCCCTCGCCAAGGGCTCCCAGCAGAGAATCTTTCTCCATCTCACGGGCGGCCAAGGCGGGAGCAAAGCGACGAGCGGCAGAGTTGCGCTCCCATCGAACGGAGCCGTTTCCGGATCGCGCCGCAATTACAAGGTCCGGTGCCTGAAGGCAGATCCACCGCCACAGGTACCGTTTTTCCGGGTTCTGCTCGTCAAAATAGAAGTTGCCCTCAGGCGGATATCCTTGTCCGGGATTGCCTCCCGCGCCATTCTCCGGTCCGCGCTCAAGCCGCAGCCCGTCGGGGTTGCCGCAGGGGATCGCGCTAAGAGCAACGCGCAGGGCGAGGCCGTCGCCACCACCGGCGTACAGTTCCAGGGTGTGGAGGGCCAGTCGACATCGGCGGCCCGACCCGACAGCCCGCCCACCAGAAGCACCCTGATGCGAGCAGTATCGGCAGAGTAGGCATTCCGGTCCAGAAGTGCCGGAATCGGCATCAGCGAACGGGTGACTCCACAGGCAGTACGACTCCAAAATGCTGGCCGGGCCTGCGCCAGCGCATCCAGCGCGTTGATGATATCCCGCTCACTGCCGCCGCTTGCCACGTCTGCTATGACTCCCTGGGCTTCTGTACGAGGTCCACGTTCACGGTGCGGGCAGCGCTTACGGTGAAAGTCAATGATGTGGTGCCGCCGCCCTCGGTGCTGTTCATAACCTCGATGTTGGCCGGTCCGTGAAGGTAGGCGATCTCGTCACCCTCCACGCGGAAGGGCCTGTCGTGGCCGGGGTAGAAGACGTTGGACGACGCCACCATCTTTTCGACGCTGGCGTGGGCGTCCTCAGTGTCCCAGAAAATGTTGTAGGGAATGCCCCGCGCCACCGTGCCGCTCTCTGGCATGGCGTCGCCGGCTATCAACACGTTCTCGCCGTCGATTTCGGCCAGCACGCTCATGTGACCCTTGGTGTGGCCGGGCGTTTCGAGGATGGAGACGCCGTCTACGATGGTGTCGCCCTCGGAGACGACCTCCACCTTCATGTTGCGCATCATGTCGGCCATGCCAGCCGCAACAGCAAGGTCCCAGCTGTTGGGGTTGCGGGCGTAATCGATCTCGACCGGATTGACCAGCACCCGGGCGTTGCGGAACAGGTCAGTGTTCTGGCAGTGGTCCCAGTGCATGTGGGTCAGGATGACGATGTCGATGTCGTCGGTGGTCAGCCCCATGTTGGTGAGTGCCCGGTACAGGAAGGGGCGGCGGGAGGATGGCCCGGTATCGATCAGGATGTTGTGGCTGCCAACCCGCAGCAACGAGTTGGTGGAGTAGCCGAAGGAGCCCTGATCGGTGTTGAGGGCGAAGCCGTAGGTTAGGACGTCCAGAGTTGCCATGAAAAGCGCTCCTTACCGGAAGTTGGGCATCACTTTCTCTGAGAACAGCCGCAGCGAACTGGATATCTCGTCGTAGGAGAGCCCACCTGCGTCCAGGTAACTGATGAAGTGAGTGACGTGGTCTCGTTCCAGGTCTTTGATCGCGGCCGTGACCTTCTCGGGGCTGCCGATGGCGGCCATCCCTTCCTTGCCACGCTCGGCGACGAGGTCAGGCTCGATGAAGGGGTCGTGAACGTAGTGCTCGTAGCCGGTCACGCCAGCGGCTCGCACGACATCGGACAGTGGGCGCCGAAGGAAGTCGCTCATGTCGCCGGCCCACTGGAGGCGGGGAGTGAGCAGGTTGACGGCCTCTTCGTCGGTGGGGGCCACGTAGACGTTGCGGACGGCAGCGACCTCGATGTCGTCGGCCGCCACGCCTTCCTCCATCATACGGCGGTGGTACAGGTTGATCAGGTTCTGGTCGGAGTCGGGCGAGGCAGGGAAAAAGCTGCTGCCCACGGTGAACAACCCCCAACGGTTCTTCACCGCGATCTCCACCGACTCAGGGCTGTGGGTCACAGCCATGTATATGGGCGGATAGGGCTGCTGGACCGGCTTCGGAATGACCCGGACCTCGGGGAACTGGAAATACTCGCCATCGTAGGCAAAGGTGTCCTCGGTCCAGGAGCGGACGGCTATTTCCATGCCTTCGACGAAGCGACCACGGGACTCGGCGATGTCGAGTCCGTAGATGTCGAATTCCCGCTTCTGGTAGCCACGGCCAGCGCCAACGATGAGACGGCCCTGGCTGATTATGTCCAGCGTTGCGAGGTCCTGGGCCATCCGCAGCGGCGGGTGCCAGGGCACGATGGTGCAGGCGACGCCCACCTTGACGCGCTTGGTCTTCGCGGCGATGGCGGCCAGAAGGCTGTGGGGCGAGCTGATTATGCTGTGCTCGCTGAAGGCGTGCTCGGCGATCCACACCGAGTCGAAGCCCAACTCTTCTGCGAGTTCCGCGCCCCGGAGTATGTCCTCGTAGACCTGGACGTCGGTGCGGCTGACAGGGTTGGGATTGACCTTGCTCTCGTCGGCGTACTGCTCGTGGAGCAGCGGACGCTGCCCCACGAAGAAAGCTCCGAACTGCATGTCGGCTAGCTCCCGGCTTCGATCTCGGCGTATACCTCCCGCATTGAGGCGCCGGAGTCATCCTCCACCTCGGTGAACCACTTGATCAGCGAGCGGGTCAACTGATCGACGGATTCGTCATTGCCAGCTTCCTCGTAGCGCATGCGGACGGTAGGCAGGGTCATTCGGGTCTGAAACTCCCGCATCGTTACGATCTTTTCGGCGTCGGTCATGTCGGACTCTGCGACGCGGACTCGCTCGTGGAACATCTCGTCGTCCTTGTCCTCGGGGGTGCCACCCAACTCGCGGATGCGGCGATCGAAGATGTCGCCGTGGCTGGTCTCACGTTCGGCCACGAGGGAGAGGCAGCCCTTCAGTCCCGGGTGCTCGGTTTTGTCGGCCCAGGCCTTGAGGAAGATCCCAGCGCGGTGCTCCTGCAGTCGGATGTCGTTGAGCAGATCGATGTATTCGGGATTATCTGGCATTGCGTTACCTCACGAAAATGTGCAAATTGGAGTCGAATTCGGACGAGGCAGTAGATACGAAGGGTATCGGATGGCGAAAACTGCCAAGCCGCGCCATTGCAGGCGAGTTTAGTGCGCTGCCAATAGGGTGTCAAACCTGACGGAATGCGGCGCGTGCTAGAATTGCCCTACTTTTGAGACCAGAAACGAGGAGCCATTTTGCCTCAACTGACCGAAGCGCAGCGTGGGATGGTTGCCACTATCCGGGAGTTCGTCCGGCGGGAGGTGCAGCCCGTTGTGCTGGACATGGAGCACGCCGACGAGTACCCGTTCGAGCTGGTTGAACGGATGAAGGAACTGGGGCTGTTCGGCGCAGTGATCCCGGAGGAGTACGGCGGACTGGCGATGGACGTGTCGTCCTACGCGCTGGTCATAGAGGAGATCTGCCGGGGGTGGATGAGCCTCAGCGGTGTACTGAACTCCCACTTGATCATGGCATACATGGTCGCCACCCACGGCACCACTGAGCAGAAAGAGCGGTTCCTGCCACAGATGGCCACAGGCGAGAAACGGGGAGGCATCTGCATCACGGAGCCGAACGCTGGCAGCGACGTGCAGGCCATAGAGACGCGGGCCGTCAGGGACGGCGACGACTACGTGGTCAACGGCTCCAAGAGCCTGATCACGAACGGGCGGCACGGCAACACATTCGCGCTGGTGACCAAGACCGATCCGGACGCAGACCCTCCCCGCAGGGGCATCAGCATCTTCATCGCCGAAAAGGGACCGGGGTTCAACGTGGTGCGGGATATCCCGAAGCTGGGCTACAAGGGGGTGGACACCTGCGAGCTGTCCTTCGAAGACTACCGTGTTTCCGGCGGCAACCTGGTCGGCGCCGAGGAGGGCAAGGGCTTCTACCAGATCATGAGCGGGCTGGAGCTGGGGCGCATCAACGTGGCGGCACGATGCCTGGGTGTGGCAAGGGCCGCGCTGGAGGAGTCGACCCGGTACGCCAAGCAGCGGGAGACTTTCGGCAAGCCCATCGGGGAGCACCAAAGCGTCCAGATCATGCTGGCCAACATGGCGACGAACATCCAGGCGGCACACCTGATGGTGCTGCACGCCGCCGAGAAGAAGGACCGGGGTGAGCGCGCCGACATGGAGGCCGGGATGGCCAAGCTGTTCGCCAGCGAGATGTGCATGCAGGTGGCGACCGACGCCATGCGCATTCACGGCGGTTACGGCTACACCCAGGACCTTTCGGTGGAGCGTCACTTCCGGGACGCGCCGCTGATGATGATCGGCGAAGGCACCAACGAGATTCAACGTCTGGTCATCGCGCGCCACCTGCTCAACAACTACCCCACGGGCGACTTCCTCTACGAGTCAGGATTGTAGCGAGGTCTGCGGTATAATCTCGATTGATTCTCAATTCCCAATCGAAGTGAATAGAGGAAGACATCAAGTCATCCTTGAACCCAGGATCAGGAGGCCAAAAACGATGGTGCAGACCAACAATGAGACCGGCATCACGCGCGCTCTGGGCAACTTTGCCCAGAGCCTTGAATACGAGGACCTATCGCCAGAGGTAATTGACTGGGCGAAGTACCTCTGCCTGGACTTTGCCGCCGTTACGCTCAACGGCTCGACCACCGATTCGGCCAAGGCCGTAGTGGACGCGCTGCAGCGACTGGGACGGCCCGGGCCTTCGGCCGTCGTGGGCACGCCGTACCGGGTGCTGCCGGAGTACGCGTCCATGGCCAACGGCGTGGCCTTCCACAGCATCGAGATGGACGACGTGAACAACGAGGCCTCGCTGCACCCCGGGGTGGTGGCCTTCCCCACGGCGCTTTCGATGGCAGACCTGGCCCACGTGTCGGGCAAGGACTTCATCGCCGCCGTAGTCGCTGGGTATGATGTGATCGTCCGGCTGGGTCGGGCACTGCAGCCCGCCGAGCACTACGGGCGCGGGTTCCATCCCACCGGCACCTGCGGGGCGTTCGGCGCTGCAGTGGTGGCCGGGCGGCTGCTGGGGCTGCAGGGCGACGACTTCATCCACGCGCTGGGGATCGCCGGGAGCCAGACAGCGGGGAGCATGGAGTACCTGGCGCAGGGGGCTTGGACCAAGCGGTTCCATCCCGGCTGGGCGTCGCACAGCGGATCGTGGGCAGCGCTGCTGGCGCGCTCCGGCTATACCGGGCCGACCACGATCCTGGAGGGTCGCGATGGGTTCCTGCAGGCGTACTCGGGCAACCCGGACCCGTCGCTGGTGCTGCAGGACCTGGGCGATGAATACCTGATCACCCGCACCGGCATCAAGCCCCACGCCTGTTGCCGGTACAAGCAGGGTCCGATCGACTGCCTGATCGACATCCGCAACAGCCACAGCCTGACCGCCGACGACGTTGAGGACGTTACCGTCGGGGTGCTCAGCGGTGGGTTCAAGCTGGTGGCGTCGCCGGAGGGAGACAAGGCCAACCCCAAGACCGTGGTGGACATGCAGTTCTCCATGCCCTTCGGCGCCGCAGTGGCGCTGGCCTACGGAAAGGCGTCGCTGGAAGAGTATGCCGACGGCGTGCCGGACCGGCCGGAGGTCCGCCGGATAATGCAGCAGGTCAAATGCGTGACCGACCCGGAGTTGGACTCGCACTTCCCCAAGGAGTTCCGGGCCTGGGCAGAGGTGGCCACGACTGACGGGCGCACCCTGCGCAGCGACATCCGCTACCCCAAGGGCGACCCGGAGAATGCGCTTTCGTGGGACGAGATGAAAGAGAAGTTCCTCGTCCTGACCGGCCCCGTGATCAATGCCGAACGGCAGCAGGAGATCATCGCGGCCATCGAATCCCTGGACGAGATGGACGACGTGAGGGATTTGGCGGCCCTGCTCTCGACCGAGTAGGTGAGGCGACGGCCAAGTCCGTAGTAAAAGCATGACTCCGCCGCTGCAGGGTGTACGCATCCTCGAGATGTCGCAGGCCATCGCCGGCCCCGTGGCGGCGCGGACGCTGGGCGATCTGGGCGCTGAGGTCATCAAGATCGAGCAGCCGGGCGTGGGGGATATGTCGAGGCGCATCGGCCCTCATTTCCTTGGCGGCGAGAGCGCCTACTACCTGAATTTCAACCGGAACAAGAAAAGCGTAACCATTGACCTGCGGACACCGCAGGGCCGGGAGGTATGCCACCGGCTCGTCGCGGTATCCGACGTGGTTTTCGACGCCTTCAGGCCCTCGGTGCTGGACCGGCTGGGGCTGGGCTACGAGACACTCAAGGGGATCAATCCGTCCATCATCGCGTGTTCGCTGTCAGCGTTCGGGCAGGAGGGTCCATACAGGGAGCGACCGGGTTTCGACGGCATCGTGCAGGCTATGGGCGGCGGAATGAGCGTCACGGGACATCCTGGCCAGCCCCCGGTGTTCATGGGCTTCCCGGTGGGAGACATGGTGGGCGGCTACATGGCGGCACTGAGCATCGCCTCGGCCCTCTATGGTCGCAGGGTAACCGGCGAGGGGCGGCGGCTGGACATTTCACTGCTGGATGTACAGATTGGACTGCAGGCGCACCTGGGGCAGTTCTATCTTGTGTCCGGGGAGGTCCCGCAGCCAATTGGGTCCGGGCACCCATCCAACCTGCCGGTCGGAGCGTACCAGTGCGCCGACGGCAAGTACGTGCAGGTGCACTGCGCCAGCCAGGAGTTCGCGATGAAAACGCTGCGGATGATGGCCGGCGAGGTCGAGGCGCTAGAAGGGATGGACGAGGACGCAAGGTTCACCACCGCGCCCGCACGAATCGAAAACCGCGGAGCGCTGGAGGCCTCGCTGACGGCAGGTTTCGCGACCAAGCCACGGGACGAGTGGGAGGGACTGTTGCTCAAGTGGGATGTGCCCGGCGGGCCGGTAAACAACATCGCCGAGGCCCTGGCAGACCCGCAAGTACAACTGCGCGACATGGTGGTGGAGATCGAGCACCCGGTGGCTGGCACGTACCGGACGGCCGGCAACCCCATCAAGGACGGAAATCCCGACAGCTTCGACCCTCCGCCTACACTGGGGCAGGACACGGACGGGGTGCTGACCGGGCTGCTGGGCTACAGCGACGCGGAGGTGGCAGAGTTTCGGGACGCAGGGACGATTTAGCTCATGCCACTGCCAATGGACCCGCTACCGGACAAACGGATTATCATAATTGCCGGCCCCAAAGGGCGCTGGCAAGACCACCTTCGCCAGGGAACTTCTGCCCCACGAAGCCAACATCCCCACCTTCATCAACGCCGATCTGCTAGCCACGGGTCTCAATCCCTTTCACCCGGAGCGAGCAGCCTTCCAGGCAGGACGGATGATGCTGGAGATGATTGACGCCTGTGTTCTGAGGGGTGAGAGCTTCTCATTCGAGACTACGCTGAGCGGGCGGGGATACGCGCGAATGATTCCCAAATGGAGGGAACTAGGGTATTGCGTCAAGCTATACTTCCTGCAACTGCCCTCGCCGGACGTTGCCATTGCGCGAGTGAGCCAGCGGGTAGAAATGGGAGGGCATCATATACCGAAGGACGACATCCGTAGGCGGTTCCATTCCGGTTGGGACAATTTTCAGCGTATCTACAAGGGGCTGGTAGATGAGTCTTTAACCTGGGGTAGTGGCGAAACTCCCGACAACTCGGATGCAAGGGCAGCATTGCTTCGGGCCACCCGAAAGTCCCGCAGACTGGCCATAGCTTTGACCGGTTCAGTAGTTTCCATTCGGGACGGCCAGGTAGTTCACGAAACAGATCCATAGCGCACAGGAGGTCCGAAAATGGCAACCAGCGCGAAACTGGGTATCCTGGTGCCCGGCGGATTCGGTGGAACTCCGCCCACGGTGGGCGAATTTTCGTCGTTCTTCCGCAGGGCGGAGGAGCTTGGCTACGAATCACTTGGGTGATTGACCGGGTGTTCCATCCCAACAGCATCATTGATCCGATGGCGCTGCTCACCGTGGCGGCAACGGTCACCGAGCGGGTGCGCCTGGGCACTGCGGTGTTGTTGTTTGTCCTTCGCAATCCGATTCTCGCGGCCAAAACCACATCGACGCTGGACTACCTTTCCGGCGGGCGCGTGACTCTGGGCATCTCGCTGGGCGGCCGGGACAACGAGTTCGGGCCACTGGGAGTGGACGTGCGCAGGCGGGTGAGCCGGTTCAACGAGGGGCTGGAGGTCATGCGGAGGCTGTGGAGCGAGCGGGATGTCACGCACCACGGCCGGTATTTCTCAATGGACAACGTGAACATCGACCCCAAGCCGGTGCAGCAGCCGTCGATTCCGGTGATCATCGGCGGTTCAGCCGACACGGCGCTGCAGCGGGCGGCCGAGCAGACGGACGGCTGGGTGGCCGGCGGCGCTGCCAGCCCCGAGGTGTTCGCAACGGCGTGGGGGAAGGTGCGAGACTTTGCCGCCGCCGCTGGGAAGGACCCGGAAACGCTGCAGTCGGCGAAGCTGATATACACCTACGTCGACACGGACCGGGAGCGGGCAAAGCGAGCACTTGAAGAGTTCACCCACGCGTACTACGGACCTCAGTATGACGTCGAAAACGCATGCGCCTTCGGGCGGCCCGAGGACTGCGCGGCCAAGCTGCAGGCGTACATCGACGCCGGGGCTCAGACGGTGATGGTGGGGCCGACTTGGCCCGATTCTGCGCAGATTGAGCGGATCAGCGCAGAGGTGTTGCCGCTGCTGCGGTAGCGTCTGCAAGGAATCTTAGAAGATGCCGAGGGGCAGGCGTTTAACCTGCCCCTTCTCATTTTGTCTAGGTAAAAGCCTGGTTGCCTCATCAATTCGCTGGGGCTGCTTGGCGGCAAAACTCGTCGATCGATTCGGCCAGCGCCGGATGGGTTTCTACAATCCGAAAAACGAGAGCCACTAGCCTATCGGCATCCAAGTCGAGCAGCAGGTCTTCGATGGGTGCTCGCACGGCGACCAATTCTCTTTCATGAATCCAAAGTTAGAAGCACTGCCACGATGTGCTTGCAGTAACCACCCCAGTCATAAGGGCAGGTGCAGTGCGCGTTGAAGTCGCCCTCCTGAAATGCAACGCCCACGTGATAGAGGTCCTCTTCACTGCCCAGAACCTCGGCGAACAATCTGTCCCCTCGCTGAACTACCGTCTCGACCATGCCGGAATCAAAATAAGTCCTGCCGCGCTCGAAAGACTTGGGTGTTACTTTTCTGAGGATCTCCTCTTCGTTATCAACGGTGGTGATTGACAATTCTCCCCATCCCTTCCGGATTTGGATAGCCCACTAGCGTCCGCCACGGGCTTTGCTTCCACCTACACTGACGTCTGGGTTATCACCCTGGGGGCTACTTTGCGGGAGAGCCAGCGACCGTCGCTGGAGTCGCCGAGGAGCTGGCCGTCGCGGACTATGGTCTTGCCTCTGAGGATGGTCATTACCGGGTAGCCCTCGCACTGGAAGCCGTCCCAGATGGAGTAGTCGGACTCGGCGTGCAGCTCGTCGACGGTGATCGTCTTTTTCAGGTTGGGGTCGAAGATCACTATGTCGGCGTCGCTGCCGGGGGGCGATGGCGCCCTTCTGCGGATACATGCCGAGGATCTTGGCGGCGTTGGTGGAGGTGATGGCGGCGAAACGCTCCAAGCCGATGCGGCCGGGGGCCACAAGCTTGGTGTAGGTAACGGGCATGCGGGTCTCGATGCCGTTGTGTCCACCGCAGAGGGTGCGGATAGTGTCACCGGCGAGCTTGACGTTCTTGTAGGTGGTCCATTCGTCGGTGGCGGTGGTGCATATTGGGCCATCGACCAGCCCCTGCTGCAGGGCATCGCGGTCGTCGGAGAATTTGATGGCAGGGTAGGTGTGGATGGCGAGGCCGTCTTGCTCCAAATAGTCGTCGCAGGTGAACTGCAGGTAGTTGTGCAGGGCCTCCCCGTAGACGGGCTGTTGCTTGGCCCGCGCCTCGGCGATGGCGTTGACGCCTTCCTTGGCAGTGGTGTGGACGAAGTAGATGCCGGTCTCGGTGCTCTGGGCCAGTCTCGTCACCTTGCGAAAGGAAATGTCTTCGGAGATGTTGTTGTGGGCCAGGTGGAGGTTGGAGCCGTGGTCCCGGCCCTCGCGCTCCAGCTTATCCTCCATGTAGGTGACGATGTCATCTTCCTCGGCATGCACGGCCATGATGCCGCCATGCTTGCCGACTTCCTGGAAGATCTCCCAGAGGTGGCCCATGGGCACCTTGGCATGGAAGGTGGTGAAGATCTTGAAGCTGGCGACGCCCGACTGGATGGCCTCACCTATCTCGCCCAGGGTTACGGGCGGGATCGCGCCGGCGAGGATGTAGTGGAAAGTGTAGTCGATGTAGGAGTGGCCGCGGAATATGTCGCGCCGGACTTCGACCTGGCCCATGATGGGGTCGGAGGGCGGGACCGCTCCAGGTGTCAGGGGCAGTGCGCCGGCGAAGTCCACGTAGGTGGTCACGCCCCCGAAGGCCGCGGCGCGGCTGGCGGCCTCGGGCGGCTGGGTGTAGATGCCGGTGTCACCGCCGGCCCAGTAGTCGGGCACGGGAACGTTGATATGTGCGTGGGGTTCGATGCCGCCCGGCAGTACGATCATGCCGGTGGCATCGATGGTTGCAGCGGCGCCCACGTCGTCGAGGGCGCCGGGCGAGGCCACCGCGGCAATCTGCTCTCCCTGGACGCCCACGTCCATCAGGCCAGCGCCCTCCGGCGCAACCACTGTACCGCCCTTGATGATCAAGTCCAGCATTCTTGCCTCCAGTCAGGCGATTGGGGCAGCCTCTTGCCCGCTATTTGGTTCAGCTCACTAATTGACGGCGGGGATCTCTATCTCCTCGTCGAGGGTGGCCGGGATCCAGGATGCGAGGAGCGTTTCAAGCTCATCGCGGCATTCCTCCAGCCGGTGCTCGGCATCCTCAAACAGCACCAACTCCTTTGGCTCCTTGGCCCATTCGTAGATCTGCAGGGAACAAGAGAAGGGCAGGCGGGAATCGGCCTTGCCGTGGGCCACAAGCAGCTTGCGTGGCGCCAGTTGCCCGGCCATACCGGCCCCGTAGGTCTGGGGCGAGAGCGAAACTACCCCCTTGATGTGGGGGCTGGTGGCGCCCGCTGCTATTACCACAGCCCCACCGAATGAATGTCCCACCACGACGACCGGGCCGTAGCCGATGTCATTCAGGTGGCCGGCACCGACCATCAGGTCGAGGGCACACTCCAAGAGGTCGTTGGGCAGCCGGTAGTCAATCCTAAGAGAGGTTATGCCCTCCTTCAGAAATCGCTCGGACAGGCGAGCATAACTCTCAGGACCAGGGCCAACAAATCCGCCGCGTGCGCCGCAGACAAAGATGACGGCGCGGGTCGATTCTTTTGCCCTGTGAATGATTCCGCTGAATTCGCCCCGGTTGGTGTGGAACTTCTGCCCCTCTCCTATGCCTCCGTATGGAAGGGAAACGTCAGTCACCCGGAACAGCTTTATCAGCTCTGCGGCGGATTCCGGTCTCTGTCCTGTGGCCATCTTCTTTCCTTATGCCAGAAAGCCTACCCCAGGAAGTCTGCCAGGGCAGCATTGAATTGCTCGGGGTTGTCCTCGAACACCATGTGGGCTGCGTTGTCCACGTGGGCCAAACGGCCGTCGGCCAGGGTTTCCACCATACGATTGGCCACTTCGAGGCTAAGCGTGTCGGTGTCCGAACCGCGAACGATGAGGGTGGGACAGGTCGCCTGACTCAGGGGGCCCCACAAGTCAGGCGGGGGAGCGCCGGTGACGTTGCGGCGCTGTTCCCGGATCTCCGGGTCGTAGCGCCAGCCGATCCTGCCGTTGGCCAGCTCCCTGGTCTGGTACCTCAGCCGACGGCGCATTACTGCTTCGGAGGCGAAGCGGTTCTGTCCGTTAACGTGCTGGAACGCAGCCTCAAAGCTGTCAAATTCCTCGGGCACTTCCACGACCTCGCGGGTGATACGCGCTGAGCCGGCGGGATCGATTTCCGGCCCAATGTCTACTATTACGAGCTTTTCCAGCATCTGGGGATTGCGCCCAGCGAAAGCCATGCTGTTCCGGCCGCCCATGGAGTGGCCGACAAGGGTGAACTTCTCGAATCCGATGGTGTAGCAGAATTCCTCGATATCGGCCACAAAGGCATCGGTTGAGTAGTCGCCGCGAGGAGCCCAGTCGGTCTCTCCGCGTCCACGCTGGTCCAAGGCCAAGATGCGGTAGTCGCCGCAGAAGCGGGTGGCCACATCGTCCCAGGAATGGGAGTGACCCCGCAGTCCATGGAGCAGGAGCATCACCGGCGCGCCTTCATTGCCCCAGTCGAGGTAGTGAAAGTTCATACCGTTGCAGGTAACCATCACGTCCGTGGGTTGCACAGTTGTGGTCATGGTTCAGTCGCCTCCGGCAGGAATCTAGGGATCCTCGAAATTTGGCCAAGTTTAGCACAAGGGGAGACCGATGAAAAAAGCGGAACCAACGAGGCGAGGCTTCGTCAGCGCTTGATGATGAGCAGGGAAAAGTAGTCGAGATCCTCGGCAGATAATTTGCTGATGTCGTGGATTACCCGCTCGCTGGCGGTGCTGGCTTGGCGGACGTAGATGGCGTGTCCCGCGAGGCCGAGGCTCTCGAGGTTTGCCAGTGCCCTCATCAGGTTCTGATCCGTCTCCATCAGCACAATGGTGTCAAAGTTGGCGATGGCCTCACGCAGGTCGTCTATGCCGTAAACGGCGGGCAGTATTGCCAGTCTCTGACCTTGGGAGACCAGCGGGATGCCGGAACTTGCTGCGGCAGCCATAACGGATGGCACCGCCGGCACAACCTCGGAGTCGAGGTCCGGGTTCTCTGCCTGAAGATGCTCGAGCAGGTGAGGGTACTCGCTGTACAGCATCGCGTCCCCCTCGGTGATGAAGGCAACGTCGAGCCCCTGACGAAGCCTGTCGCCAATCTGCTGGGCGGCAATGTGCCAGGTCTCATGACTCACGGGGGAGTCGTCAGAAGGAATGGTGATAGGGACCATCTCGGCATCACCGGACACCAGAGAACTCACCACCCCCAAGGCAAAGCTGGGCGCGCCGTTGTCGAGCTGGGTATAACAGATGACTCCGATCTGCTGAAGCAGCCTCTGCGCACGAACGGTCAGGAGTTCAGGGTCGCCGGGGCCCACGCCCAGCCCATAGAAACGGCCAAAACTTGCCACATCCCCACCTATTGAACCACTACGTTGACCAAGCGACCAGGTACATAAACCGTCTTATCTATGGACTTGCCATTCAGGAAGCTCTGCACCCGCGGGCTGGCCAGTGCCAGTTCCTGCGCCTCATTCTCAGGAATGCCAAACCGGCACTTCCAGCTTGTCGCGCACCTTGCCGTTGACCTGCACAACCAGCGTGAATACCTCGTCTGCGGCCAGGTCGTCGTCCCAGCCCGGGAAGTCCTGTTGATGAATGCTGTACCCACGGCCAGAGCGTTCCCAGAGTTCTTCGGTCATGTGGGGGGCCATGGGAGCAAGCATCAAGAGCAGTTTTTCCACACACTCACTCCACAGTTCAGGTTCGACACTCTGGTCGGACCAGACCCTGTTGAGGTGGTTGGTAAGCTCCATCATCGAGGCGATGGCGGTGTTGAACTTGAACCGGTCCAAGTCGCCATAGCACTTTCGAACGGTCTGGTGCAGCATCCGCCGGGTCTCCCTGGAAGCGGACCCGCCAGAGCCATCCAGCGCCGCAGCGTCGCGCGTGGCAATGTCCCACACCCGGTTCAGCCAGCGGGCGATGCCGTTGATGCCCTCACCACTCCAGGGGCCACCGTGATCCCAAGGGCCGATGAACATCAGGAAGCAGCGGACCGCGTCGGCCCCCATCACGCCCACGACATCGTCGGGGTTGACGACGTTGCCCCGGCTCTTGCTCATCTTTTCGTGGTCCTGCCCCAAGATCACACCCTGGTTGAACAGGCGCAGGAACGGCTCTTCGAAATCCACCATCCCCATGTCATAGAGCGCCTTGATGAAGAAGCGGGAATACAAGAGGTGCATTACCGCGTGCTCCGCCCCACCGGTGTACTGGTCGACGGGGAGCCACGCCTTGGCCACCTCCGGGTCAACCGGACCATCGGAAAAATGAGGGCTGAGATAGCGCATCATGTACCAGGACGAGTCCATGAACGTGTCCATGGTGTCGGTTTCCCGTTTCGCCGGGCCGCCGCAGCCGTGGCATGTGGTGTTGACAAAGTCGGCGCTGGCCACCAGGGGTGACTCTCCGGTGGGTTTGAACTCGGCATCCGAGGGGAGGAGCACTGGCAGGTCCTCTTCCCTTACGGGCAGCACCCCGCAGCTCTCGCAATAGATCATTGGTATGGGCGTGCCCCAATACCGCTGCCTTGATATGAGCCAGTCCCGGATGCGGTACGACACGGCCCGTTTGCCCCAGCCGTGCTTTTCCACATCATCGGAGATGGCCTCGACGCCTTCCTCGTTGGTCATGCCGTCGTAAGGGCCAGAGGAGGTCATGAAGCCGTCGCCCAGGTAGGCCTCCATCAGATCACTGCCATCCCACGAAATGGGAGCGATGACCTGCTTGATGGGGAGCCGGTACTTTCCGGGCGAAGTCGAAATCACGGGCATCGTGGGCCGGCACTCCCATAACTGCGCCTGTCCCGTAGGTCATCAGAACGTAGTCGCTGATGAATATGGGCACCCGCTCGTAGTTGAGGCGGTTTACAGCGTAGCTGCCAGTGAATACCCCGGTCTTTTCCTTGTCAGCAGAGAGCCGGTCTATTTCGGAGGTACTGCGGGCCTGTGCCACATATTGTTCCACCTCCGATCTGTGTTGCGGCGTCGTGATCTGATCAACGAGCCGGTGTTCCGGCGCCAACACCAGGAAGGTTACGCCGAAGATGGTGTCGATACGGGTGGTGAAAGTGGGGATTTCCCGTTCTTCCAGGCCCAGGGACGAGATATCGAAACTGATATCGACTCCGGTGCTCTTTCCGATCCAGTTGTTCTGCATGGTCAGGATCTTGTCGGGCCACTCCTCCAGCCCGCTGAAGTCCATCAGTCTGTCGGCGTAGTCCGTAATCTTGAAGAACCATTGCTCCAAGTCCCGGCGCGTTACCACCGTGTCGCAACGTTCGCAGGCGCCATTGAGCACCTGCTCGTTGGCCAGGACGGTGATGCATGAGGGGCACCAGACAACGGGAGCGTTGGCGCGATAGGCCAGTCCCTTTTTCGTACAGCTTGAGGAAAAACCACTGGTTCCACTTGTAGTATTCAGGGAGGCAGCAGACGACTTCGCGATCCCAGTCGTAAATGGCGCCAATGGATCTCAGTTGGCGCCTCATATTCTGGATATTGTCCATGGTCCACTCGTACGGGTGGATACCACGGCTGATTGCGGCGTTTTCAGCAGGCAGACCAAAGGCGTCGAAGCCTATGGGATGCAGGACGTTGAATCCCTGCATTCGCCGAAATCGGGCGTGAGCATCGGCGGGGGCCATAGCATACCAATGGCCAATGTGGAGGTCGCCGGAGGGGTATGGGTACATGGTCATCTCGAACCACTTGGGCCTGGTGTCATAGTCAGGCACCTTGTGCAATTCGTCCCGCTCCCAGCGTTCCTGCCACTTCCTGTCAATCGATACAGGATCGAAAGCCAACTCCACCTGTCTGGAACCCGTCGTCATTGGACAGTCACCTCGAATCGGCTGCGCTCGTAGATTATATCAGTATAGCTGAACCGCTTCCCGGCAATACGGCATGGCCCCGTGCGGAGTATCAAGCATTACGGGGGTTGGACAGCAATTGACAGCCCCAACGGGCAAACCTAGAATCTCGTAGCTGGCTCCTTTCAATAGTCCGACCTAGCGATCCTTCGGACCAGACAACTGCGGTCAATGTTCACAATTCTCTGGCCAATCCGGAACCCTACGATATTCGGCAATTCTTGTTGACCGAAGCCTATTCTTCCTCGAATCGGCGGGTCTCGCGGCCTGCAAACGGAGCCAGAGAGATTGGCATCTAACCGGGAACCGCGGCCCCTTGATTCCACAATACGGCTCCCTCGCCTGAGGGACGTCCCGCCCACCCTGCGGTTAAGCGAAAACGAGCGCCGTCCCCCTCGCTTGCTCGGTGTTTCGACCATTCTAATCGCTGCATTCGTGTTTCTGATGTCGGTGGGCGCCGGCTTGCTGACACTTCCGTTAGCATCCACTTCCGGTGAATCTGCGCCGGTGCAGGTCGCTTACTTCACTGCCATTTCGGCGGTGACCGTTACCGGCCACACGGTGGTAAGCACGCCCGAATACTGGGCGCCCTTTGGTCAGATCGTCGTATTTCTCCTGATGCTTGTCGGTGGTCTCGGCTTCATGGTGATCAGCACGTTTCTGCTCCTTGTGCTGGGAGACCGCACCACCATCCAGCAAAGAGCCATTACTCGTGGATTGATGAGCGACGCCGCTGGAGTCAAGCAGATGCGCGCCATCCGGTCCATTGGCAACCGGGTCATCATCATAGTTCTTGTCGTTTACCTGATCGGTTCGTTCATTTTTTTCAGCCAGATAGACGGACTGGACGGCGTAAGCCGCGGAAAAGCCTACTGGTATTCACTTTTCCTGTCCGTCTCGTCCTTTAACAACGCAGGGTTCAACATCATCCCCGAGGCCGCTCAGGGCAATGCCGCGAGGTTTGTGTCCAACTACACGGTGCTGATCACCATGACCATCATGATCGCCCTTGGCGGTCTTGGTTGGGTCACAATGGTGGACTTGTGGAGGCAAAAGCGTTTTTCCAGGTTTTCCCTGGACACGAAGCTTGTGGTGGTGACCAGCCTTGGACTTTGGCTGGTTGCAGCGGGTCTTCTGGCTCTTACCGAGTTTGGCAATCCAGAGACTCTTGGCCCGTTGGGCTGGAGCGACCGGGTCGTTAATTCCTTCTTCCTCGCCGTCAGTGGCCGTACGGCGGGTTTCAGCACGATAGACTTCAGCCATGTTGCCGACGTCACCAACATGACATTTACCGCATTGATGTACATAGGAGGGGCGCCCGGTTCGGTTGCGGGCGGGATCAAGGTTGTGACGTTTGCGTTGATTGTAGCGGCGGTGATTTCCTCCCTTCGCAGACGATCTCATGCGGAGTGTTTCGGGCGAGAGATACAGCAACCCCAACTGCACCGCGCGCTGGCGGTGGCCGTTCTCGCGCTGGTGATCATTTTCGCAACAGTCATGGCGCTTGTGGAAATCGAGGGCGACGCTGACTTCCTCCATCTGCTTTTCGACACAGTGGCCGCCCTTGGCACTGTGGGAGCTACGACCGGTATCGTGCCCGATATGGGGCTTGTGTCCCAGTCAAATTATCATGGGGGCGATGTTCATCGGAAGGCTTGGGCCACTACTTTTGGCCCTGGCCCTGGCGCCCAAAGAGGATGAGGTGGAGGCGTACCGCTACGCTCGGGAACAGGTTAGAATAGGTTAGTTTCCTCGAGAGGTTGATGGTGAAAAAACAGATTTGCGTTATAGGAATGGGGCGATATGGTTCCATTATGGCGCATGAACTGTACCAGAGCGGTCACGACGTCCTTGCCATAGACATGGACGAGGCCAAGATCCAAGAGCAGCTGGGCAAGGTCACCTATGCAGTCCGGGCCGACGCCACCACCGAATCGGTCCTGAGGGAACTGGATGTTCCTGATTATGACGTCGTGATCGTGGCACTGGGAAGCGAGAACATCCAGGCCAGCGTGGGGATTACCGTGCTTCTGAAGAGCCTCCAGGTGCCGATGGTCATGGCCCGGGCTGCCAACGAGTTGCACGGCGATACACTGGAAAGGGTCGGGGCCGACCGGGTGCTTTTCCCCGAGGCCGAAAACGCCCGCCGCGTAGCCCGGCTGGAATTTACCCTAGAGCTGATTGACTACATGCCGATCCTCGCCGACTACGGCATCAGCAAGATCCGCCCTCTGGATGTGATGATTGGTCGTACCCTGGAAGAGGCTGTGCTCTCCGGCTCAGGGGACCGCCACGAAATTTCGGTGCTTGCCATTCGCAGGGGCAAAGCATCGCTGCTTCATCCCGCGCGGAACGAGGTGATAATGGCTGGCGACGTCCTAATCCTGGCGGCAACCAGCGAGCAGTTGAGCAAATTAACTGAGACTGCGAAAAAGTTGGAGGAACCCATCAACGGGGCAAGGTCGAGCAGACAGGGGGCGGCGCGCTCCTGACCGCTTTTGAATGGAATCGTCAAAACACGAGAGCACCACGGAGGGACGCCTGGCCCAATCCGTCAGGTTAACGCAGAGGCAAACCTGCCACGCGCCGGAGAATAATATTGCATTCGCTCAGAGGCGGTTTCGCCTCTTCGTGGCAAGATGCCACAACTAGCATACTGGTTATGGTGGCCCTCAACCCCTTATAATTCGTGCTTGCCCAATTCGCAGGAGATTTCGGCGCATCGTTCACCACGGTCGGGGGCAGTCAGTAATGGCGCTTGACGCCCAGCGAATTCTCATTCCGATCAACGCCAGTCCTCACTGCGAGCACGCTTTTCGATGGGCCTGCCACATGGCCAAAGGTGCCAAGGCGGAACTGGTTGCTCTGCACGTTATCGAGGTTCCCTTATCGATGGCCCTCGAGGCCGAGGTTACAGAAGACATTGAGGAAGCCGAAAAGCTGCTTCGCAAGTTCGAGCAGATCGCTCGGCAGGAACAGAAACCAAAATTGACGGCGCGGAGCGTGCGTGCCCGGCCGGCTGGTGCCGCAGTCGCAAGAGAGGCTGAGATAGAGAAGGTCGATTTGGTGATCGTAGGCATTCCCTTCAGCCGTAATCTGGGCCAGTATCATCTGGGTAGCACAGGTTCATACATTTTCCAGCACACAACCTGCCAGGTCCTGCTCTGGAGGGAAACCATACCACCGAACATTTGGGTTGAGAGCTAAAGACCTGTGCGTGTTTTGGTATATGGTTGCGGTCAGTTGGCCTCCGGAGTTGTCCGGGAGCTGACAAACGACGCCACTGAAATTATCGTTCTCGGTCACGAGCTCAGTGCACTGGAGCGTCTCAGCAGCTATGAGAATGTCTCCGGGGTTTTTCTGGACGAGCCCGTGATGCACGACTACCTGATCGAAGCGGGTATCGCCAACGCGGACGCCTTCCTTGCCCTTTCCACTAGTGACCACGACAATTTGCTGGCCGCCCAGATAGCTCACCAGATGTTCGGTGTTCGAAGTGTAGTCTGTCACGTCGAGAACCCGCAGTTGCAGGTAATCTACGCAACATTAGATGAATCCCAGGATATGAACGTGATAAGCTACTCCGTGGGAATTCTCCAGGACATTCGGTACGCAATGAACGAGGGCCAAGGGTAAAGCTCCCTGGAAACTAATCGGTACACCTCTCGGACCGCGGTCTAAAGTCGAAAGATGTTCGTCGTCATCGTAGGATGCAGCGAAGTAGGTTTCTTCCTCTCCCGGGCGCTTGCAGCTACCGGCCACGAGGTTGCCGTAATCGAACGGGAACCCCACCGTTACCAGATACTCACGGAAAATATGGGCATGGTGGCTCTGCTGGGCGACGGTGCGGACGCTGACGTCCTGAGGAGGGCCGGCGTAGAGCGGGCAGACGCAGTTGTGGTATTAACAGGCGTCGATTCGACCAACCTCGTAGTCTGCCAACTGGTGAAGTTCCTGTCCCAAAGACCGCGAACGGTGACGATGGTCAAGGACCCCAAGAACGAGCCTGTTTTTGAACGAATGGGCATCGACGTGGTGGTCACTTGCATTCACCTGCCCTGGTGCGCCCTCAGAGGACTGTGCATGCCCGGTCAGGCCGGTCTGCGGCACCTCATGCCGTTTCCCGAACAGGGAATGGAATTGGTGAGCGTCTCCGTACCAGCCGGCGCGGACATCGTCGGCAAGCGGCTGGACGAGGTGCAACCACAGCTACCGCCAAACAGCTTTGTTTCGTTGATCGTGAAGAGGGGCCATGCAAGCATGCCCGCGGGGCAGACGATTGTGGAAGCCGACGACGAAGTGGTGGCCGTAACCTCCATCGGGGAAGAGCAGTTACTCTACGACATCCTTACCGGAGTGTAAGCATGGCACGGAGACTGGCATTCCTGGGTCCGTCAGGCACGTACACCGAGGAAGCGGCTCTTCTTTATGATCCAGCGGCCGAGTTGCGCCCCTTTCCCAACATCACCGCCGTCGGCATGGCGGTGGCGTCAGGGGAGACCCCACAAGGCGTAGTTCCCATCGAAAACAGCATAGAGGGTTCCGTTAATTTCACTCTCGACCTGCTGCTCAGCGAGGGATCTCTGCTCATAAGAAACGAGATGGTGCTGCCCATTGAGCATTACCTCATGGGCAAGCCCGGGACACGACCCGAGAGCATCGAAGTAATATATTCTCACCCCCAGGCCCTGGCGCAATGCCGGGAGTATCTGGAGACCCGGTTTCCCAGTGCCGTTCGATCGGCCTCTCTCAGCACGGCCCAGGCTGTCGGAGACGCCATTGCCAGCACTGTGCCGGCTGCGGCCATTGCCCCTCGCAGGTCCGCGGAACTATACAGCGCCGAAATCCTCGACTCGGGCATACAGGACGTTGCCGCCAACGCCACGCGATTCGTGGTGCTTGCCAAGACGGACCATCCGCCAACGGGCAACGACAAGACCTCGTTATTCTTCACCTTTGACGAGGATGTGCCTGGCCAGCTTACACGGTAATGGGGGAGTTCGCCCGGAGAGGCATCAACCTGGCAAAGATCGAGTCGCGTCCCACCAAGAGGTCACTGGGCCAGTACATCTTCCTCATTGATTGCGACGGGCACAGGGAGGACTCAATGCTGGGAGAGGCCATACGGTCCGTGAGCAGCATAGTGAGTTCGTTGAGGGTGATGGGTTCTTACCCCAAATGGGCGCCGGATATTCCGTCCGGAGACTGATCGCAGTCGGACGCTTTTGCGGCGCGAGGCTGTCTACATTTCCTGGTCAGCTGTCGCCTGACAAGGGAATTTCGGGACAAATAAATCGGCCCCCCTCTTGCAGTTCCCGCGCGCCCGAAACGCCACACAACCCCAAAGGCTGGAACACTCAAGGAGGGCCGATAGGCCGGATTCTATGTCCAGCCGCCGATGGAACGCTCCCACCGGCGGAAGCATATGCCCTGAACACGGGAACCCCCGACCATCAACCTGTAAGCCGCCACGAATACACGTATGGTATCCGTGGTAATTGTATTGTTAAGGCTCGGCTATGATTTTAAACAAATATAAGGATTATGTCAATACTAAACTTTATGGAAATTCGGAACGAAATATTTTGGTGCCCAGGTTTTCCAAAACCAGTTCAATCATCCCTGCATCGGCCATAGAGTCAAACTTGGCCAGTCCTTCCTCTCCGTAATTCACATCAAGGTCGCGCACACTACGTTAGGAGACACATAGACCGCCCATCACGCTTTCCGCGGCGTGTGAATCGGTGGACTGATATGCGATCCGAACGTCTCGCGCCCCCGCACCTCATCTGGGTCGTTTCCCCGTTAATCCAGCGTGGAGTTGAGTCTGCCAGGGCAGCCGACGATCACGGTGGGGAAGACCTGTGTAAATGGCGAAGCGGCTGCCCCAGCGGTATTGCTCCATGTGGGCCTCCAGCACTACAGGGCTGCCCTCCGCATTATCCTGCAGCCACCTGATAGCCTCCCAGTCCCAACGCAACGGGAAACGCTCGTCGCGCTCCCAGTGGTCCGCGTGCAGCATGTAAGCCGTACCGTCCAGAGTCGGTGCCAACTCGAGGAAGCGGTCTGCGACCCGCGCCCGCGTGCCCATCACGGTGTATACCAGAGACGACCCCACCAGAATTGCCAGCATCACGAGCCATGCCACCCTGAAATCGAATCGGGGGAACCGAAGTTCAGGCAAGCCCGTCGATGCCATTCGCCACAGCGCGTAGGCAGCCGCGATTGCCATGAACACCCACACTTCCAGGTAATACTTGGAGAGGGTGTTCATCCGGCCAATATCACCCTCCACCGTGACGAAATCGACGCCGATAACTATGAGGGCTGACATCGCCATCATGGACAGCGCCATCGCTTCAAAGGGTCTAGTTGGTTCGGGAGCGACGAGCATCCGCCAGCCTGCAACAGCGACCAATACGAGCAGGGCCAGTACCAGAACGGCGTTCCAGTATCCAACCACGGCGAGGAACAGTCCTGCGACCAGAATGACCACGAGGACCAGCTGAAGCCACCCCATTCCCCGCGGCAATTCCTCACTGGCCCACGGGCTGCGCAGAAGCAGACAAACATCTCCGGGTGTCCTCAGAATCAGGAAAGTGCCGATGATGAATATGAAGAGGCTGTGTATAGCCAGGAATCGGTCGGCGGGCGTTCGCCACCTCGAAGCATCAAGCCCGTTGTTGAAGGTTTCGTAGTGCTGGTGGAATGGCCAGAATGAAACCAGGCTCAGGGCCAGTACACCCACGGCCAAGCCGAAGAACATCAACATCATGCGGCGCGGACTCATACGGGCAAAAAGGACCGCCAGCCCGATAAGCACCAGGACGAGTATCACGTAGGACGGGTAGTCCCAACTGTTGATGGCCCACAGCGAGCCCAGAGTAACGCCAAGCGCGGCGCTGCAGACCGCCATCCACACGGGGCGGGCATTGCGCAGCCCGACCAGCAGGGCCAAGCCCAGCGCAAGGGCCAGCAGCGTGAAGGGAATGACCATCATGTGGGCGTGCAGGTCGGCAAACAGAAAGGTGAAGAATGGAAACTCGGTGATGTGCCATGACGACCCGGCATCGCGGGTATGTGCTCAGGCAGCCAGAACGCCAATGCCTGGCGGCTCAAAACTGTCCAGGGGCGCAATCATCCGGCTGCTTCGCCAAAAATCGAACCCGGCCCATGCCTCGCCTCTCACGGCGACACTCCAGAGTCCCTGGAGCAGCTGAATCATCCCGTCAATATTCGCAATGACGGCGACGAAAGCTGCGGCGACAGCACCGCAAGTTAACGGTGACGAGAGCACTTTCCTTATTCTGCCGTGCCCAAGGGCATTGACTGCCGCCCGCTGCCGGACCCCAGCGTTTCTGAACCCTCCCGCCAGGTTGAAGCCCAAGGAAAAAGCTGCAGTGAAGGTCAGCGCGAAAAACAGCGGCACGGCCAGATTGAATGCCGTGGTGGGGGCGATTGCCGCCACGCGATTTATGCTGGCAGTTACGAGGTAGCCCCAGTAGTAATAGTTCAGATACCCGCCGGCGAACCACGGGTCGAAGGGCGGAAACGTAGTGGAACGGAATACGGCGGTGAAATACGCCAACTCCATCGGCTTTTCACCGCCGCGGTAAGGGTGCCAGAGGTCGGGATTGAAATATCGAATTGCGAGAAAGGCCAGGAACGCCCCCAAGAAAAGCACCTCGCTCATAACGAGGAGCCGCCAGCGAGTCCGGAGAAACTCCCGGATTTCCTCCCGTTTAAACCATAGGACCGTCGCGGAGGCCGCCGCCAGCACTGCCATCCCCACGTAGACGGCACCACGCGAAAAGTCCATCCAGCCCACGGAAACAATCAGCCACGCAACGTAGCAGACCGCCAGCAGGCCAAGGACTCGGGCCACCAGGATGCCGCGGTCGGACAACGGACGAAAGATGAACAATGCGAGGGGCAGGGCCAGCAGGTAAATCACTTCTACGACCAGCAGCCAGGCCAATACCGGAACATCGTTCGTCCACCCGTTCCTGGCAACAATGTCGCTGAACGTGCCCCCGGCCCGCTGCTTCTCCAACACCTCCGGGTCCAGCATCAGGGCGCTCTTTTCCTTTTCGGAGCGGGGAGGCACAGCAGGAGCAAGCAAACGGCGCAGGGAGGGCTCGCTCAACCTACCATCATTTCGGAAAACAAGGACTCGAGGATGGTCATATCCTGAAACGTTGTCGTCGGCATATCCCAGATTCAGGGTAAAGTTGGCGTCTTTTGACACCACCTCCGAATCCGGACTCTGGAGGCCCGAATACGCCAGCGCATCGTCCTTGAAAACTACCCCGCCAAGGGAGGGGTAGTTTGTAAACTCCCGGTGCAGGCTGTACCCCAACTCCCCTGAAAACAGCAAACGGTAGTAGTTGCCGCTGTACGGAAATCGCTCCGGGTCTCGAGATGCACTGGCATAGGGGCGGGCGCTGTAAAAGATCAGGTAATTGGAACTGGCAAGGTGATCCGCCAATTCCCCCATCTTTTGCGGGGTATCGTGTTCGTACAAAGGAAACTGCCAGACATTTCTTCCGTGCATTCCAGGCAGAAACTCGTCCCAGTGGTTGTCCAATACGATGGGAGAACCTCGCGGAACTTCATCACGCAGCCACTGCGACGCCTGGTTTGCGGGATGCTCACCGGCATACACACGCTGAAAGGCCAGCGAATAGAACGTGGTCGCAAAAATTACAAAAGCCGGAATTGCCACTGCCACAGCAATACCGGCCGTTACTGCCCAAGGTCTGACGGCAAAGTGCTTCTGCCGCAGCCCCGCCATCACCTCCCTGCCGGATTCGGTGATCTTCCGCATTGGCTCACCAATGCGGTCAATATTCCAGAGCATCATCCTTGAGGCCAGCAGGATCATGACCGGCATTAACGGAAAGAGGTATCGGAGGAACCGGACCTCGAAACTCTCGAGAAACAGAAGGCTGGGAACCACCCATACAAGGAGAATCAGGTCAGCCCTGAAATGGCGTCGGTTGAAGGCGGCCATCAGGACGGTGAACGGGATGGCAACCCAGGCGACAATTCCAAGCGGCAGCCCCAGGCCCCACACCGTCGTCTGCCGGATCTGGTACAGGAATGCCGGGGTATCGACGTACTGGACGGTAAACGGGAAGAACCCCGCCTCCCGTGCCATCCTTGTCTGAAGTCTCACATCGCCGACAAAGGCCCCTATGTCGATGAATGCGTAGGGAGTCGTGATGAAGAAGACACACAGCGCGACAACCCCGCCGAGGATCGCATGACTAGCAACCCTCCTCAGCATTGCAGGCTCAATCTCATCCCACCGGCCCTCGGCCTCATCGAGAATCCGGTAGCCATAGCCCAGAGCCAGGGGCGCGAGAATGGGAAGCACGTTGACCTTGGGAGCCAGGGCCAAGCCCACGATCACCCCAAGCAGCACCGAGTCCCTGAGCCTGCGTTTTTCCACCATCCTCAGGGTGGCCCAGATGCTGGCCAGCGTGAGCAGGACGGTGAACGTCTCGGGGCGGTAGAAGTGGCTGTGCTGGACGTGAACAACCGCGAGCGCAGTGAGTCCGGCCGCCAGCAGCCCCACATTTCGACCGTAAAGCCGGCGCCCAAGAACGAACACCATCAGCACGGAGCCAACGTCGGCCAGTGCCGAGAGCGTCCGGCCGGCATAGCGCATGTCGAAACCGCCGACGTCGGTGAACAGTTCGACCACGGACCGGATGAATACCAGGGCGTAGATGAGAATGCTGCCCAGCGGGAACCAATGCGGGTTCAGCGGGCTGCGGTCTGCGTCGAAGAAGTAGCGCAAGCCCCCCAGCCCGGGCTCAGCCTGCGGTTGGTCGTTCAGGTAGCCGCAGGTGGGGGCGTGAGGAGCGTCAGTGAGCAGGGCATACATGCAGTCGGAGCGCATGTAGATGTCCCGCTCATCGGGGTGAAAGCCATAGCCGTCGTCCCAGTTCAGGCCATGCAGGCGAAGCAGGAGAGCCACGACGACTATGGCCGCCAACACGAAGAACGGCCAGGAAACCCGGCCGTTCAAGGTCAGAAAGCAAAATTGGTTGGCCAAGGGGCGCATAGAGGTCACTCAGAGGGTTTCTGTTCTACCTCCAGTCTCCCTGACATACGATAGTCCCGTCCTGGCTAGATGCCTTTCTCACTCATCATCGCGGCGAGGTCGGCGGTCCGGCAGGAATAGCCCCACTCGTTGTCGTACCAGCCCATGATCTTGACCATCCGGTCAGCCATCACGATGGTGGACAGCGCATCGAAGATGCAGCTGTGCGTGTTCCCACGGAAGTCGGAACTCACCAGCGGCTCGTCGCAGTACTCGATGATGCCCTTCAACTCATTGTCAGCAGCCTTCTGGAAGGCGGCGTTCACGTCGGCCACCGACACATCGTGGCCCACCTGGGCAGTGAAGTCGGTGATGGAACCGGTGGCAGTGGGGACGCGGAAGGCCATGCCGTGCAGCTTGCCGTTGAGCTCCGGCAGGACGAGGCCCACTGCGCGGGCGGCGCCGGTGCTGGTGGGGATGATGTTCATGGCCGCTGCACGAGCCCGGCGAAGGTCGCTGTGTCGCTGGTCCAGAATTGCCTGGTCGTTGGTGTACGAGTGGATGGTCGACATCAGTCCGTGCTCCACCACGAACTGGTCGTGGAGTACCTTAACCATCGGAGCGAAGCAGTTGGTGGTGCAGGAGGCATTGGAGACAATGTTGTGCTTGGCAGCGTCATACAGGTGGTCGTTGACGCCCAGCACCAGGGTCAGGTCCTCGCCACGGGCGGGGGCTGAAATGATGACCTTCTTCGCACCGCCGGTCATGTGGCCGGCCGCCTTTTCAGCGTCGGTGAAAATGCCGGTGGATTCGATGACCATGTCAACGCCCATCTCGCCCCACGGAATGGCCGCGGGATCGCGCTCGGAGAACACCTTGATGGCCCGGCCGTCGACCACCAGGTCGCCATTGTTGGCCTCCACCTTGCCGGGATAGCCGCCGTAGCTGGTGTCCCACTTGAGCAGGTGGGCGTTGGTCTCTGCGTCGGTCAGGTCGTTGACCGCGGCGACCTCCACCTTGCCCTCGTTCCGCTCCTGGTTGGCCCGGAGCACCAGCCTTCCAATACGTCCAAAGCCATTGATCCCAATCCGCGTCACCATACTCAACCTCTACGATGTCAGGGTGGAATTATTCGATAGAAAGACAAAAACCGATGGCTAATCCGAATGGTTGATTGCTAATACCAATCCAGACCGCCATTTTGAGCGCCGCTATCTTATCACAGCGTACGCCCCAGGTACTCGAACGCCGATTTACCGGCGTAGGCCGCAGCATTGCCCAGCTCGGCCTCGATGCGCAGCAGGCGGTTGTACTTTGCGACGCGCTCCGAGCGGGCGGGCGCGCCGGTCTTGATCTGCCTTACGTCCCAGCCGACGGACAGGTCGGCGATGGTTGTGTCCTCGGTCTCGCCGGAGCGGTGGCTCATCACGGCACCCCATCCGGCGGTGCGAGCGGTGTCCAGCGCAGCGCGGGTCTCAGTAAGGGTCCCGATTTGGTTGGGCTTCAGCAACACCGCGTTGCTGGCCAGCTCACGTATGCTGCGGCCGATGCGGGAGATGTTGGTTACCAGCAGGTCATCGCCCACCAGCTGTACCGTGGCACCCAGCCGATCCCGCATTGCTGACCAGCCCGCCCAGTCGTCCTCAGACAGACCGTCCTCAATGCTGATGATAGGGTACTGGCCCGCCCAGTCTTCATAGAGGTCGATCAGCTCCCCTGAGTCGAGGGTGGCGCCCTCGCGATCAAGTACGTACTTGCCAGATGCCTCGTCGTAGAATTCGGTGGCCGCCACGTCCAGCCCCAGGTAAACCTCGCGGCCCGGAGCGTATCCAGCCGCCTCAACGGCCCGCAGCACCATCTCCAGGGCGTCTCGATTGGAAGGAAGCGACGGCGCGAATCCACCCTCATCGCCGACGTTGAGGTTATGCCCATCGGCACGAAGCAGTGACCGGAGCGACTGGTAGATCTCCGCTCCGGCTCGGAGCGCATCACTGAAAGTGTCCACTCCGACCGGCAACACCATGAACTCCTGAATGTCCGCCGAATTGGAAGCGTGCCGACCGCCGTTCAGGATGTTGAACATCGGGACCGGCAGGCTTACCCGCCCGTCTGCAGCCAGGTAACGCCACAGGCTGACACCCTCCGACGCGGCAGCCGCGTGAGACACCGCCAGCGACACTGCCAGGATGGCGTTGGCGCCCAGCCGTCCCTTGTTCGGCGTGCCGTCCAGGACGCACATTCCTTCGTCGATGGAGGCTTGCTCCAGCGGCGAACGTCCCGCCAGCCAAGGGCCGATAACATCGTTCACATTGGCGACGGCCCGTCTCACGCCGCGACCGCCGAAGCTGGCCGGATCTTCATCCCGCAGTTCCACCGCCTCGTGGCTACCGGTGCTGGCGCCGGACGGTACCAGCGCGTGGGCCGCGACGCCATTGGACAATCGAACTTCTGCTTCCACCGTCGGGTTGCCGCGGGAATCAAGGACTTCGCGTCCCTGAACAGAAGTAACAGTGATTCTGCCGTATGAGCTGGTCATTGGAGTGCCGTCCGCCGAGTAAAGTCAGGAGGTGAGTCAGGTCCGTGACTGGGCCGCTGCTATGGCCTTTTCCACCGCTTCCACGGGGTCGTCGGCCTTGATGATGCGGTCGTGTATAGGCGTGCCTTCACCCGTCTCAGTGAGCGGCCAGGTATTGAGTCCGACGACGGGTATGCGGGCATCCAGGGCGTATGCTATCTCGCAGAGCGTCCCGAAGGCCCCGCCAACGGCAATGCATGCCGCCCCGGTGTGCACCACTATGACGTTGCGGGAGTAGCCCATGGTGGTGACGATGGGTATGTCCACATACTCGTTAGCGTCGGTGGGAACGCGGCCGGGCAGTATGCCGATGGTCTGCCCTCCCTCGGACTTGGCGCCACGGCAGACAGCCTCCATCACGCCGCTGAGACCACCGCAAACAACTGTTACGCCGCGCTTGGCCAGTTCCTTCCCGACCTCTTCGCCAAGGTCGATGAGTTCCGGGTTTGGGGGATTGCTGCTACCTATGACGGCAATAATCATGGCATTAACGCCCTGCTTTGCAGCTTCAATTGTGTCGATTAGCGGCGCGGGGTAGACCCCAATCCAGAATACAGCCAGCAGGCCAGCCCCCAGCACCGCAAGGATCGTGATCGACGGTCGGCGGCCCAGCGCCGGGTATGTTTCGATAAGCGCGGCCCCGTATCGTCGGGCAGGCTGCGGGGTTTCCTCTTCGTGGCCGTGTTCCTCTTCGCCGTCCTCGTCTTGATCGCCATCGCCGTGGCCACCGTCGATATGCTCGTAACCATAGCCGTGGCCATATGCAGGTTCACCCTCGGCAGGCTGGATGTATATCTGCCGGATCACCTGCAGATAGTAGTAGAGAGATACCAGGCTGGCAAAGACCGCAAGGCTGGAAAGCCACAGCAATCCCTCGTCTGCTATCGCGGTGAACAGGTAGAACTTGATGGCAAACCCGGCAAATATGGGCAGACCAGCCAGCGAGAACATGCCGATGGTGATGCTTGCCGCCAGGAAAGGCTGCGTGCCGCCCAGGCCAGCCAGGTCGGACATCATCTCCTTGCCGGTCATGTTGAAGAAAGAAATCAGTCCTCCGAATACCACGAAATTCGTGACGGAGTACCCGACCAGGTATAGCAACACCCCGTTGGTAGGAAGGCTGGAATCCAGTGAGAGAGCAGCCACCCCCGCCAGGAGGAACCCACTGTGGCCGATGCTGGAGTAGGCCAGCAATCGTTTCAGATTCTGCTGGGCCAGCGCCACCAGGTTGCCGACCATCATGGTCACCGCCGCCAGCACCGCGATAACCAGCTGCCATTGCTCCCATCGATCGCCCACTGGGACGAAACCCTCGGCGGTCAAGCGCAGCACCAAGGCAAAGGCTGCCGCCTTGGATCCGATGGACAGGTAGGCGGTAATCGGGTACGGGGCGCCCTCGTAGACATCCGGAGCCCACATGTGGAACGGAACCGCCGCCACCTTGAATCCAAGTCCGACCAGGATGAGCGCGACACCCACCCACAGCGCCCGGGCTCACCTCCGAGGCTGCCGCAAGACCCACGGCTATCGCCTCGAACTTGGTGACTCCCAGCACGCCGTAGACCATGCTGACTCCGTACAGGAGCACGGCGGAACTGAAGGCCCCGACGATAATGTATTTCAGGCCGCCCTCGTTCGACTTGGGGCTGTTCTTGGCGTAGGCGGCCAGCACGTAAAGGCTGAAGCTGAGCAATTCGAGGGCGATGTAGGCGGTCAGCAACTCCCTCGACTGGGCCATAAATGTTCATGCCCAGGATGGAAAACAGCACGATTCCGTAGAACTCGCCCTTGTGTTCCAGGTGCTCGTTTACGAAGTCCATGGAACTCAGGATGATGCCCACCCCGATCCCCATGAACAGCACCTTGAACCAGAGGGAGAAGTCGTCGATGGCCAGAAGCCCGTTGTACAGCGATTCGTCGTGGTCCCAGAGCATGAAGATTGAGACCACGATCACTGCGATGAGCCCGACGATGGAAATCCAGCCGAGCAGGTTCTTCCGGCCCTCCGGCAGCACCAGGTCTATGACAAACACCAAGAACGCCAGTCCGGCCAGAGCGAATTCCGGCGTAAGCAGTTCCAGGTTTGCTGTAAGCGACACGGCTACCTAGACTCCCGGAATGGTGGGAATGCTGACGTTTATCACACGCATTATCGGCTCGGGCCAAACGCCCACGAAAATTATTACCAGCACAAACGCCCCGGCCACCGACTTCTCCATTACGCCCGCGTCGGACAGCCCGGACCAGCGGACGTCCGGCTCGCCGAAGAAGGTGAGGGCCAGCAGCCGCAGGATGTAAACGGCGGTGATGGCCGCGCCGACCACCGCGAGAATCGCCAGCGGAAGGTAGGTCCGGAAAGCACCGGTGAACACCATGAACTCGGCGATGAATCCGCTCATCCCCGGCAGGCCAAGCGAACACAGGCCAGCCAACGCGAAGAAGAAACAGGTTACGCCCATCCGCCCGAAAAGGCCGTTCAGGACATTGATGTCGCGAATGTGAGCGCGATCATAAATCGCCCCGACCAGCGTGAACATGAGGGCCGTCATTATCCCATGCGAGAACATCTGCAGCACGGCACCGGCCATCCCGATTTTGTCCAGAGTCGCAATCCCCATCAACACGTAACCCATGTGGCTGACGCTGGAATATCCGATGATGTATTTGAGGTCCTGCTGTGACATTGCCGACATGGCGCCATAGAGCACGTTGACCGTACCCAACGCAATGAGCACGGGCATCCAATAGTCCGCCCCCTCGGGCAACAGGAAGATACCGACACGGATGATGCCATAGGCACCCAGCTTCATCAGCACGCCGGCGTGCAGCATGGACACGGCAGTTGGCGCAGCCACGTGGCCGTCCGGCGACCAGGTGTGGAAGGGCCAGAGACCGGCAAGCGACCCAAAACCGACCATGAACAGCGGGAATACCAGCGTCTGGAATGTGCTGTTGAACTGGCCGGTGGTGGCCATCTCGGCCAGCTTCTGCAACGAGAACGTCCCGTCACCCTGGCTCGCTGCCTGAGCGTAAACGGCAAGGATGCCCACCCAGATCAGAATGCTCCCCGCCACCAGGAACAGGATAAGCTTCATCGCGCCGTATTCCTTGGTGCGGAGGAAGGTGCCGAAATTGGTGCTGCTGCCCCAGACTCCGATCAGCAGGTACATGGGCAGCACGGCCAGCTCGTAGAAGAAGAACAGGAAGAACAGATCGCGCACCACGAAAACGCCGTACACGCCGGCCGCCAGGGCCAGCAGCAGGACGAAGAACTCCCGCGTGCGGTAGGTGATGTTCTGGGAAATCATCACCCCGCCCATCAGCACGATGCCGTTCAGCACGATCAGCGGAGCGGAGATCCCGTCGATGCCCAAAGACAGGGTTGATGTCCATCGGCCCGGGCAGCCATTCATAGACCCGCGTGAACTGGAACCCGCCCGACTGATAATCGTATCGCGCGAATATCAGGACCGACAGCACCAGCGAAATCGCCCCGACGAACAGGGCAAAATACCAGCTGTCCTTCGGGCGGTCGCCCGGCATGAACATGGTCAGACCGGCGCCGGCCAGCGGCACCAGTATCAACAGCAGCAGCGCGACTTGGTCGAAGTTGCTCATCGCATCCAACCCAAAGCGCCGCCATTCATCAGCCGTTTGTCGCGCGTTTCTATCACGAGGTTATCAGCCACCAGAAAATTGCCAGTCCGATCGTGCCCAGCGCCATGGCCAGGGCGTAGCTGTACAGGTGTCCAGTGACGTGCAGGCGCAGGGTGATCCCCAGGCGGCGCACCACGTCCGCCGGACCGTTGATGCCCACGTCGTTGACGATCGCCCTGTCGAAGAAACCCACGAAATTGGCTATGACCAGAACGACACGGTCGATCGTCCACTGGTAGATCTCGTCAAAATAGTACTTGTTCTCAACTATCCGGAGAATTGCGCCGAACCTCTCCCGCGTGGAGTCCAGCGAGATGCTGCGCCTCTCATAGATCAGGTAGGTGAACACAAACGAGCCCACCGCCATCACCCCTGACAGTATGCCAATCCACCAGGTGAATTCGAACCCATGGCCCTCGTGGTAGAAGACGAAGTAGCCGAACCCGCCAAAGGCACCGGGCCAGTTCCAACTGATCAGCCCGAACCCGATTGCCAGGATGGCCAGGAGCACCAGAGGCACGGTCATTACCGGAGGAGATTCGTGGGTGTGTTCCAGTTCGTGCGGCAACCTGCCGAAGAACGTGACGAACACCGCCCGTCCCATGTACAGGGCGCTCAGAAGCGCCGTCACCAGCGCCAGCACGATGAACGCCGGGTTCAATCCGTGGCTCACCGACTGCAGTATCTCGTCCTTGCTCCAGAAGCCCGCGAGGATGGGTATGCCTCCCAGCGACGCCGCCCCGATGGCGAACACAATGGTCGTGATCGGCATCACCCGTCGGAGGCCGCCCAGCTTGGAAATTTCCTGCTCCTCGGTGGAGTGAATCACACTGCCTGACCCCAGGAACAGCAAGGCCTTGGCGAAGCCGTGGGCAAGCAGGTGGAATATCGCGGCAGTGTAGCCTCCCGCGCCCAGCGACAGCATCATCAGTCCAAGGTGACTGACGGTCGAATACGCAAGTATGCGCTTTATATCAGTCGACACCAGCGCGATCGTCGCAGTAACCAGCGCGGTCACCAGACCGACGATGGCAACCACCACCAGTACCACTTCGTACTCTGCGAAGATCGGGTAGACGCGCGCCACCAGGAACACCCCGGCCACCACCATGGTCGCTGCGTGGATCAGCGCGCTGACAGGCGTCGGACCCTCCATGGCGTCTGGCAGCCATACGTGGAAGGGTATCTGCGCTGACTTGCCCATGGCTCCAAGGAACAGCAGCAGCGCGGCGGCGATGGTCACTCCCTCACTCAAGGTCCCGGCATGCACCGCCTCGAAGGCGTCGGTCATGCTGAAAGTGCCGACCTCGCGCCACAGGAGCAGGATGCCGATCAAGAGACCCACGTCGCCTATGCGTGTGACGATAAACGCTTTCTTGGCCGCCTCCCGAGCTGCAGGACGCTCATGCCAGAAACCTATGAGCAGGTAAGAGCAGACACCAACTAGCTCCCAAGCCACGTAGAGCAGCAGGAAGCTGTCGGACAGGATGATCGTCAGCATCGAGGCTGCGAACAGCGCGTGAACAGCGAAGTACCAGTTGATGCGCGGGTCGCCGCGCATGTATCCGAGGGAGTAGATCTGCACCATCAACGCTACGAACGTTACCAGCCCCAGCATGGCGATGGTCACGGGGTCTACGAAGAAGCCCCACGTCAGAGTCACGCTGCCTTCCGCACCGGGGAGGCCGGCGTTGAACCAGGTGCGGTCGTAGTTGCAGGTCAGCGCCTCGGTACCGATGGCGATGTAGCAATGCTCGTTGCCAGTGGATGCCCCCATCCATCCGAATAAGGCGATCCAGAAAAACACGAATCCAGCGCCGATTGCCGGAATGGAAAGCAAAGCGCCCTTGCCCGGCAAACGATCACCGATGATGACGATGATCGGCGCTACGGCAAAGCTGAATACGGGAATGAGCCAAGCCCACTGCATCAGGTAAGGGCTCCGGCCAGAGTAACGTCAATTGCTCGGGTGTGGGTCTGCAAGAGAGGAGTTACCACTTCATCAAGTTCATCTCGTCCACGTTGACCGTGGAGCGATTCCGGTACATTCTCAGTACTATGGCCAAGGCCAGACCGACCTCGGCTGCGGCCACAGTGATGATAAAAGATCGCGATGAGCTGCCCATCGAAATTGGCAAACGGGCTGGTGCCTTCCATGTGGGACGCCGCGGCAATCAGGTTGATGTTCACTGCATTCAGCATCAGTTCGATGGACATCAGGATCAGTACGGCGCTGCGACGTGCCAGCACCCCGTACAGTCCGATCACGAACAGCCCGGCGCTCAGCAGTTGGAACCAGACGAGGTCAACCACGGTCTAGTTCTCTCCCGGCCCGGAGCGGGCGATGATGATGGCACCGATCAGGGCCACGAGCAGCACCAGCGAGGCCACCTCAAAGGGCACAGCCCACGTGGTGAACAACGACTCGCCGATGCCCGTGAATGACGCGTTGCTAGGCTCGGTACCCCGAACAGCGTTGATGAGGAAGGACGGCACCAGAACGCCCAGCAGACCCAGCGCGGCAAGCGCGGCAAGCGGCCACTGGCGGTTGTCGGAAGTACGCGGGTACTCGGCATTACGGGTCAGCATGATCGCAAATATTAGGACTATTACAATGGCGCCGCCGTAGATCAGAACCTGCACCAGGGCGAGAAATTCGGCGTACAGGACCAGGTAAATACCGGCCACCGCAACCAGCGATACCAGCAGCGCCAGCGCGGCCTGTACCACGTTGCGGGTCACCACCACGGCCAGCCCACCGCCCAGGATGAACACCGCCAGCACAATGAAGAGCGCCACGGACATCTAGCGGCCCATTATTCCGTGGACGAAGAAGAATTCAGAGTCCGCGGCCCTCGAGGAGACGGAACTGGGAAGGGAAGGACATCCGGAAAAGACGATCAACGTCTGCTAGCTCCCGCTGCCGGTGTTGGCAGGTTCGGGCTTGGCACGTTTTGTCGGAGGAATCCAGTCAGTTTCCTTCTGGTGCTTGTACCCAATCTCCAGCAACACTGGAAGGTCAACGCGGTCGCCGTTCCGGACGTAAGTGCTCATCTCATGTTCGTGGGACATCACGATGGCGTCGAAGTTGCACCACTCCACGCAAATTCCGCACAGTATACATCGGTTCAGATTTATCTCGAAGCTCTCAACGATCTTCCGGCGGGAACTCTTCCCATCGGCATGCAGGGGGTTGTCCTGCATGGTCGCTGACATGCACTGGGTGGGACAGTGGCGGATGCAGACCATGCAACTGGTGCAGTAGGGTTCATCCACTTCTTCGTCCCACGTCAGGGCAGGAAAACCCATGAAGCGGTCCTGGACCGGCGTCGGAGCCTCCTCCCTCTGGAACAGGTTGCCCGTTGCCGGGTACTGGTTCGTAACCGGCTGTCGCAGCCCCTTGGCCGAGGAGACAAGTGTCAGGAACATTCCCTTGATACTGTTAAGCATGGCGTCAGCTCCTCTGGCTCCGGCTTGCGGAGGTTCCCCTTCCGGACCTGGAGGCCATCAATGCCTCCTGCCGCGCCTTGACTTGAGCCACCCGGCTGGCCGGACCAGCCATTCGGCGGTAGATCGCATAACTCACCCACACCAGGCCACCCAGCGACATCAAACGTCAGCGACCAGGCCGGCCAGTTGTAGAACTGGTAGACGGCGGTCATCACCACGGTCAGGAAGGAAAGTGGCACCACTACCTTCCAGGCAAAGGCCATAAGTTGATCGATCCGGAGGCGCGGGAATGTTCCCCTGATCCAGAAGATCACCAAGAGCACCAGGTAGACCTTGAACAGGAACCAGATGATCTCCCAGCCGCCCTCGAGGCCCGGTCCGGACCATCCGCCGAAAAACAGGATGACGGTCAGCGCAGCAATGGCGAAGGTGTTGATGTATTCAGCCAGAAAGAACACCGACCAGTGGGCCCCGCTGTATTCCACGAATGGGCCACCGACAATCTCCGATTCCGCGAAATAGATGTCAAAAGGCGTCCGGCCCACCTCGGCCAGTCCGGCAACAAAGAACACGACCAGTCCCAGCGGCTGAACCAGTACGAAGGGGTAGCTGCCCTGCGCCGCCACGATTTCCCGCAGATCCAGCGACTGCGCCAGCATGGCAACCGAAACTGCCACCATGATGATGGGGATTTCATAGCTGACCAACTGCGCTGCAGCCCTCAGCCCGCCGAGGGTGCCGTACTTGTTGGCCGATCCCCATCCTGCCAGCACCAGCCCGAGAATGCCGATGACTGAGAAGGCAAATGATGTAGAAAAGGCCCAGCTCGAGGTTCTTGATTACCGCGTTCTGCGCGCCCGGAATGGTCACCCAGATCATGAATGCCGACAGCATCACAATGATCGGAGCGCCCCAGAATATGGCCTTCTCGGAGGACGTCGGTATGATGTCCTCCTTGAGTATCAGCTTGATGCCGTCGGCTATCGGCTGCATCAGACCCATCGGTCCGCTGCGGGTGGGGCCCAGGCGTCGCTGCAGGCGGCCGAGAGTCTTGCGCTCCAACCAGGTCAGCGACAGCGTCACAATGGCCAATGCGTTGAACATTAGGAACAGGGCCAGGGCAATCCAGCCAAAGTCAGCCCATGAGATAAACAGGAGGCCCGGCATCAGCGGTCTACCTCGCCCATCACGATGTCCAGCGACCCCAAGATCACCACTGAGTCAGCCACCCACGTGTCGATGAGCATGTGCCGGATGGCCGACAGGTTGCAGAAGGATGGTGGCCGCACCTTCAGACGGTAGGGCTTGTCGCTGCCGTCGCTGACAAGGTACACCCCGATTTCGCCCCGCGGATTCTCTGCCCGCACATACACCTCGCCCGCCGGCGGGCGGATCAGGCGGCGGCCCAGCGATGACGCCACATTTCCCTCAGAGGGCATCTGTTCCATTGCCTGCTCAACAATGCTTATCGATTCGTAGCATTCCTGAATTCGCAGGTAGTAGCGGTCCCAGCAATCGCCGTCCAGCCCGATCGGCACGACAAAGTCGAACCGGTCGTAGATGGAATAGGGCGCGGCCTTGCGCACGTCATAGTCCACCCCGGAGGCTCGCAGGCAGGGACCGGTGAGGCCGAAATCTATGGCGTCCTCGGCGGTGACCTGAGAAATGTCCTTCATTCGGGCAAGGAATATCTCATTGAAGCTCAGAAGGTTGTCCGATTCCGCAAGGTCCCCCTTTATGAGGGGCATCAATTCCCGCAATCGAGGAAGGAAGTCGTCAGGCACTTCCTCCTTGAGGCCGCCGACCCGGAAAATAATTGTGCATCATCCTGGCGCCTGAAACGTGCTCGAACAGCGCCTGGATGCGCTCGCGCCCCCGGAAGCAGAACATCGATGGTGTCATGGCCCCGGCGTCGAGACCCATGGTCGCGATGAACAGCAGGTGGCTGGCGATACGGTTCAGTTCGCAGAGGATCACCCGAATATATTCGGCCCGCTCCGATACTTCCAGCCCCATCAGCTTTTCAACTGCGCGTACGTATACGTGCTCGTTGTTGAAATTGGCGATGTAGTCAGCCGGTCGAACAGCGTAATGACCTGGTGATACTGCTCGCCCTCGGACAACTTTTCGGAACCACGGTGCAGGTAGCCGATATGCGGAACGACGTCGACGATCTTTTCGCCATCTACCCACAGCACCATGCGGAACACGCCGTGCGTCGACGGATGCTGCGGTCCCATGTTGAGCAGCATTTCCAGCGGCTCGGCACCCTCCCGGGGCGACACCAATGGACTTCCTATTGCGTTGCTGGCGGCTTCAACCATTCCAATCTTCTTGCACGGGTTCCCGGGTTGGACTGCTGTCTCTCTCTACAGGATTACTATCTCCGGCCCGTCAACCGGCTTTACCTGGCTGCTCATCCAGGTGTCATCTTCGAAGTAGAACCCCGCTTCAATCAGCGTTTCATCCAGCACGCCAAGATTATCGCAGTCTTCCAGGTATTCGGCTACCTGCAGCCTAAGCGCATTGCGGGCGTATTCCGCTGTATCTCCGAAGGCAGTGATCAGGAGTTCCGGGCACACGGCCTGGTGGGCGCCCTCCAGCCCTGATTCCTCTATGACGTATACAACCCTGTCTGAGGAGCCATCCTCACCGTCATAATCCTCGACCAGATTGCCTGGCAAGTCGGCCATTTCCTTAAAATCCCGATCCTCACGATTCCGGGCATACGTCCGCGAATTCCAGTAGCAGTTCCGTTTCGTCGTCTATATCAGGAAACCCTGCCTCCGCCAGCGCCACTCTCATGGTGTCGGTGCAGTCTCTCAGGGAAATCCAGTTCAACATAGCCTGGATCAATTCCTCTCGAGCTGTGTCCGGAGAATCGCCTTCCCCCTGGACGTCAATGCCCTCGACTCTTGCCACGAATGTGGCATCCTCTTGCTCTACCCTTGCCTTGAGGATCAGGCGCTCCACTTGGACCGTGCTCCTGGTTATTTTTTCCGGTCAGAATTCGCGATATTCATTGAATGGGAATCCCTTGCGGCCCGGATAGCCCTCGAATTCATCGTATAGGAGGAGCGGCGACAGGTCCGGATGGCCGTCAAAGGAGACGCCAAAAAGGTCGTGGGCCTCCCGTTCGTACCAGTCCGCAGCCCGCCAGACGCCGGTAACCGATGGGACCACCGGATCGTCATAGGATACCTCGGTCTTCAAGACCACAGTGCGTTCCGGCTCCAGGGACTGCAGGACGTATACCACCTGCAACATTTCCGGGTAGTCCACGACGGAAAGGCACAGCAGCATCTTGGCGCCCATGCGCTCGTCGTCCTTCATCCTGCGACAAGCGTTGGCGATGTGCTGGCGGTCGACAGTTACTTGCGGATATTCGTCCAGTGTGCCCGGTTGCGGCCCGAATGGCTCCAGGGCGGCCAGCACGTTGTCGAGCAGGACACGCGCCTCCGGGCCTAGAGAACTGAGGTCTGGCCCTTCCGGTTCGGCCTCCTCGGCCATCTCTTCTGCGGCCGCTTCATCCGGGACCCGGCTCTCGTCTGGCACGGGGGACTCTGCCACTACTTGCCGGCGTCCTGCATGATTTTTTCCTGGAGCTTGATTATGCCGTAGAGCAGAGCCTCGGGCCGGGGTGGGCATCCAGGAACATACACGTCAACGGGCACGATGTGGTCGACGCCCATCACCACGGAATAGGAGCGGTAGTAGGGCCCGCCATTGGTGGCGCAGCTTCCCATAGCAATGACCCACTTGGGCTCCGGCATCTGTTCGTACAACAGCCGGATGGGCTCCGCCATCTTCTTTACCACCGTGCCTGCAACGATCATCACGTCCGACTGCCGCGGCGACGGCCACGTAACGACGCCAAACCGGTCAAAGTCGTGGTGCGCCATGTAGGTCGAAATCATCTCTATGGCGCAGCAGGCCAGCCCGAAGCTGAGGGTCCACAGCGAAGACTTGCGAGCCATGGCGAAAAGCTGGTCAGTCGTAGTTGTGATAACCCCGGGCATCTTGTCGCCGACGGTCTGGTCGAACAGGCTGGGGCCCGGGCGGTTGCCGACGCCCAGTTCGATCTGTATGGGGGTTATTTCTGCCATTCAAGCACCCCTTTTCGCCAAGCGTAGACGATGGCAAAGCCCAGGACCGCGAGGAAAAGCATCATGGCGTAGAAGGGAAGCGACGTAACCTGGTCCTGGAGGAATATCACTGCCCAAGGGAAGAGAAACACCGCCTCCACATCGAATATCAGGAACAGGATGGCGAAGATATAGAAGCGGACGTTAATGTTGGACCAGACGTAGGGAGTGGCCGGAATGCCACACTCATAGGTGGTCAGCTTGGTTTCCGAAGAGCGCCTCGCGGACAGAAACCGGGACGCAGAGAACATGCCGACAATGGCAACGGCGGCGACCAAGGCCGAGACGGCCACTGCCGTCCAGTTTTCGGTAAAAATCTCGGGGTTAAAGACCTGAAGAAGCATGGCGGGAAGAGCCCTTCATCCCCTCACAGCCTGCCCAGAATGGCAGCCTATTATTTCGCAATCCAACAATACCTTCGGCGGAGCCGAATATAGCATCAGGCTCAACTTAGTGTCAATTTAACCGTGAGCAAGTACAGCGAACTGAAAATGGACGGACCTACCCGCCCCCTCTCAATTCCGTAGATGATATGTCCTGCCGGAACTCGGACTCGGACATCGCGGAGAACATGGGCCCGAATCCTGCGGGAACAGCAACGTCGGAGAGCGTGCGGAAAGTCCCGTTTTCGGCCCTCCCGGCGATGATAAACCTTGCGCCACCAACCATCATCTCCGCTAGGGCAAGCAACATCCGTGCGTCCCCACCGTAGTAGCGTGGTGCGACCAGCCGCACCGCTGTGTCCCACCCCAGCAGAAATGTCCTGCCCGGAAAGAGAGCCGCCTTTTTCTGGAAAGTCTCGGCGCGGGTCAACACCACTGTATCGCCGTCGCCGAACTGTCCCAAGCGGCGCAGTATCTCGGACTTCTCCAATGGCGGCTTGTCCACATTGGTAACGGACAGTTCGTACCCGCCGCCATTCCCCGCCTGCTCTGATGCAGCCGCCATCATCTCTCGGTGGCCAAGATGGATGGGATTGAACGATCCCGGCAGCAGCAGCGCCGGCGCATCACCCTCGACCTCCATCTCCCCACTCGGATGGCGCACAACCCAGCGCGCCTCGTCGTTGAGCAACTGATCCAGCGGTTCGGGCCGTGCCTTATGCTCCACCTCCAGCATGTCTCCCGGTGTCAGGGTCAAGTCCAGTTCGGCGTTCAGCCCGGAGAATACCGACAGCGCCCGAACGATCAGCAGGCTTACGATCTCCTCTTCGCCTGCCCTATCGCGCAACCCCTTGTGGAACGTGAGCGACCACGTAGCCGTGGAATGTTCGTCCCACGCCGACACAAACGCCCGGTGGTCGCCGCGCTTCGGCCGGTCCGTGGCAATGGTTGCCGCGCAGGCCAGCCCCACCGGCGGGGAGTCGTCCTCAAGTTGCGCCTTGGCCCTTTGAAACCCCCGTCGTGCCATCTGCCGGGCTGTCTCCGCCGCCGCCGACTGCGCTGGTTCGAACCCAAGGAAGTCCTGCATGGACAAACGACCGTAGGGAACGATCACTTCCAGTATCGTCCGCGAGGCGCCACTCACCCCCAACAGCCAGGCCACGGCCTGCGTCCCGGCGCCTGATACCGCCAAGACCGTCTTGTGGGGGGTAGCATGCAATTGCTCAATCTGCGGGCGGATTGTATCCAGCATCGCCATAGCCCTTCCTAACGTTGGGGTTGAGAAACGGGACCGCTCCACGGTGAGCTTTCTATGCCGTCCATGTGGGAACGGGAATAGGCAACCTCGCCTGACTGCTTTTCAATATAAGCTTTCATCCAGTCCTCAGGGATACGATTCCTTGCCTCTCGCCACCAGAGCGGCTGCCCGGGACCAATGGTGCAGCCGTCCACCACCTCGGCGAGGAAGCAGGTCATGTCCCCCCCATCCATTGCGTTGACCACCCTGCAGTCCAGCCACCCCCAGCAGTCGGTAAACAAGGGACTGCCCGTCTCCCCCTTGGAGTACTCCAGGCCCGCGAGCTTGTCTCGATCTCGGCCGGAATAAAGCCCAAATTCCCGGATCCATTCCAGTTGCCCTGCCCTGGGAAAGTTCAGCGCGAACCCGCCGCTGGACGAAATCATGCCGTGGCTGTGATTCGTCTTGTAAATATGCACCACGACGCGTGGCTTCTCCGGAACTATGGAAGCCCCGCCGATGGAGAGACAGAGCTGGGCGTTGTCCTTTCCATCCCAACAACTCGAAACGGCGGCCAAGGGAGACCACAGTTGACCCAGCATTGGGGCAATATCGCTGTATTCCATCCCAACCTCCATTCAACGGCTTTGGCAATCGGAGCGCAGGCAACGGGAGACCGCGGCCGCGCCGGTGGCCGGAAGTCTAGCACCGCCTGCCCGGCAGAGGCTACCAGTCAGGCGAGTGGTCCTTGGCGTCGTTGTGTGTCAGGCGCTGCTGGTTGGTGCCGTCGGCGTCCATCACAAGTATCTCGGTCTCGCCGAAGAGGTCGGTAACGAACGCGATCCGGTCACCGTCCGGCGACCAGACAGGCTGGGTGTCCGAGGCCTCGTTGATCGTCAGCCGCTGCGGTGGTTCATCCTCGTTGGCATCGGCGGTGTAGATCTCCAGATTGCCGTCCCTGTCGGTGACGAACGCCAGGATGTCCCCGTCCGGCGCCCAGGCCGGCGAGTGGTCTTCCTCCGGCGAGTTCAGCCAGCGCTCCTCGACCACCTTGCCTCGCCAGTCCTCGCCGTCCTCCGGCTTGAGCAGGTAGATGTCATTGTTCCCAAGGTCGTCCCTCACAAATGCGATGGCATCGCCATCCGGGGACCAGACTGGATCGCTGTCGGCGCCATCAGTAAGCCGCAGCAGGTTCACACCGGCGGGGTTGCGCAGCCACAACCCCTGTACCTCGTCATCTCCTCCCTGGCGGGAGAAAACCAGCCACTGCCCGTCCGGAGACCAGTCGCCCAGCAGTTCCCGGCTTTCCTCAGAGGTAATACGCGTTGTTACTATGTCACCCTGCCCATCCTCATCAAGGGTGGACACGTAGACGTCGGATTGTCCGTTGCGTTCCGAAACGTACGCCAGCCTGTCGCCATCTGCGTTCCAAAGCGGTGAACCTTCGTTTCCTACGCCGTCGTCGTTGTCGGGAGAAACCGAAAGCTCCGCGCCCGCGCCGTCGTATTCGACGATGATGACGTCCCGGTTGCCCTCTGACGACACTACGTAGGCGAGGCGCTCCCCGTCGCCAGACCACGAGGGGGCGAACTCCGACCCCGGTCCTCGTTTCACCGGCTCGGACTCACCCGTCTCGGCATCTATGGCGTAGACGTCGGGATTGCCGTCTGCCTCGGACACATACACTATGGGTCGGTCGGAGCCGCCGGCGATCCCGCACGCCCCAAACACTGCGCCCAGCGTCGCCATTAATATCAATACAGCAATCGGGCCAGCGACCCGCCGAAAAAACAACATCCCCAGCCCCTCCGCAGCGGTTGGTATAAACCGCCCCAACTTGGAATTATAGTCAGCCCGTGCGCCAAACTCAGGTTCAGGAGACGCGCAAATTGGGCGGTTTTCGCATCCTTGACAGCGCGAGCCACCCTATCTAGCATTGAGCAACTTGTACTGCGTACTCTTCACCCGGAGGGACTGGCAATGAGAGCGTTGGTCGGCGCAACCCTGATAGACGGCACCGGCGGCCCGGTGCTGCAGGACTCGGTAGTCCTTCTCGATGGAGACGTGATCAACGCCGTAGGCCCAAGGGGAGCGGTGGCCATTCCGTCTGATGCGGAAGTCATCGACCTCTCCGGCCTCACCCTCCTGCCCGGGCTGATCGACACCCACGACCATCTCGCCGACAAGAACTACAGCCTGCTCTCCCGCTGGGAAATCGAAGAGCCCGCCTCTCTCGCCCATCTGAAGACCGCCAGGGCCATCGAAGACTCCCTGGCAGCAGGCTACACCACCATCCGCGACGCCGGCGGGCTCGACGCTGGGTTCAAGCAGGCTATCGCCGAGGGTTTGATCCAGGGACCCCGCCTGCTCACCGCAGTGTCCATCATCTCGCCCACCGGCGGCATCGGCGACCGCGTGGCCCCCTCCGGCCACCGCACCGCCTACGCCACAGACCCCATGCGCCCCGTCGGCGTCGCCAATGGCCCCCAGGCAGTCCGCAGCATGGTCCGGGAGATGGTGCGTGTTGGCGCCGACGTCATCAAGTTCGCCACCACCGGTGGGGCAAGCTCCCGCCAAGGCCACGGCCCCAAGGACATAGCCTTCGGCCCCGACGAGGTCAACGCGCTGCTCGACGAGGCCACCTCCCTGGGCAAGCTCACCATGTGCCACGCCCTCGGCGGGCCGGGCCTGCGCATGTGCATCGAGGCCGGTGTCGGATCCGTCGAACACGGCTGCTACCTCGCCGATGAACCCGACCTGCTGAAGATAATGGCCGACAACAACACCTTCTTCACGCCCACCTTTGAGGTATACGAGTTCCATTCCACCATCAGCGCCCCCCACGTCAAGGCCCGCGCCGAAACCCTCTTCCATACCCACAGGGACAGCCTGCACAAGGCGGTCGAAGCCGGAGCCAAGATCACGGCCGGCACCGACGCCGGTGGTTTCGTCCACGGCGACAACGCCCGCGAGATTGAGTTGATGGTCGAGCGCGGCCTCACCCCCATGCAGGGGCCATCCAGACCGCCACCGGCTGGGCTGCGGAATGCATCGGCCTCAGCAAGGAGATCGGCACCGTTGAGAAGGGCAAGCAGGCCGACCTGCTCGCCGTTGCCGGCGACCCGCTGCGGAGCGTCAGCGTCCTCCGGGACAGGGAGGCCATCAAGCTGGTCATGCGCGCAGGAGTTGCCTACGTCGACAAGGTGCCCGCCGCCGTGCCAGTGGCCGCTGACTAGGCCCGCGCCACCGCCAGCGATGCGATTTCACGTACTGACCCTGTTTCCAGAGGCATTCGCTCAGCCCCTTCAGTTCAGCATCGTCGCCCGCGCGGTGCAGCGGGGGCAGATCAACATCGACGTCGCTGACATTCGCGACTACACCCACGACGCCCACGGCACCGCCGACGATTACCAGTTCGGCGGTGGCCACGGGATGGTAATGAAGCCCGAGCCCGTATTTGAGGCTGCTGAGGCCACCCTGTCCGGTTACGATGCCGCTGAGCGGGCGCAGATCCCGGTGATTCTAACCACCCCCCAGGGCGAGTTGCTAACCCAGAAATTGGTGGAGGAGCTCGCCTCCTCCCCGGCCATCGCCATCATTTGCGGTCACTACGCCGGCGTCGACGAGCGAATTGCGGAGGGCCTCGCCACCCGCCCGGTCAGCATCGGCGATTACGTCCTGACCGGCGGCGAGCTTCCCGCCATGATCATCATCGACGCCGTCACTCGCTTGCTTCCAGGCGTTGTCGGTTCTCCCGAAAGCGTCGCCGGAGACTCCATAACCACCGGCCTACTCCAGCACCCGCTCTACACCCGCCCCGCCGAATTCCGAGGAATGACCGTACCCGAGGTCCTGCTCTCCGGCCACCACGCCGAGATCGATCGTTGGCGCCGCCGGAAGTCGCTGGAACGCACCCTGGAGCACCGTCCCGACCTGCTAAGCACGGCCTCGCTCACCAACGACGACCGACGTTACCTCGCTGGGCTGGGATACGCTCCACCCGATGCCGGGCAGGTGGAAGGTCGAGGTGCCGACCATGCCCAGGACTGATTTTCAGTTCACCACGCGGTTCCGTATCCGCTGGATGGAGTGCGACGCCCAGGGCATCGTGTTCAATGGCGCCTACCTTGGCTATCTGGAGTTGGCCACCGCCGAATATTGGCGCAACCTCGGCATCGGCATCTACCACCTGCCCCGGTCCGGCTATTTCGACCTCGCCGTGGTCAAGACGACCATAGACTTCCGCTCCCCCGCCCTCGTCGACGAGCTCGTCGAGGCCTGTGTTCGCGTCTCCCGCTTCGGCAACTCCAGCATGGACATGCAGATGGAGCTCTACCGCCCCGAACCCGAGACCCTGCTCACCACCATCGACGCCGTCTACGTCGGCTACGACGCCACCACCAGGGCCTCTCGCCGCGTCCCAGACGACTTCCGCGAGCTCGTAAACCACTACGAGCAGACCGGCGATGCCCTCCCGCTTTCGCGTTTCCCGGCCCTGGAAGAGGCCATGCGCATAGGCGCGGCCGCGGACCTACCACTCTGAAAGACATTCCCTTTCAAAACGCTCCAGCGGGCGGCGCCCAAACACTTTACTGACACTTCCCTCTTACCGAGCTGTATGTCATTTCTCTAATATGAAATGCAATGGTTCGAACACCTGTCAACGGAACCCGCAACCGGCAATTCTTGCAGCACCCCGATGTCGCCATTTGTCCGGATCTGTCCGTATCTTCGAAAAACCATTCGGTGTTACGCCATCTATTGATGTGTACCTGGAAAACTCGGCGCTGTCTGTGCTGAAGATCGCACCTTCAGTCCCGAACTTCCGCACTTGTCCGGAAATTGCAGTATCAAAAGAATTCTTCAAGGCGCAGTCATCGGATAACCGGAGACATTCGGTCGAGCGGGGCCTGCCTTCGGAAGACGCGGGCGAATGCAAATGCGGCGATACAGATCCAATCAGACCTGAATTGATGATTCTTGCAACATAATTTGGGTGCATCGGGTACGATAAATACAGTTCAATTTCTATTTATATACGAGAGAAATCCCCATAATCGGTACGTTTACACTATTCGAATGGTCTTTAGTGGATTCTATACTAGCGTCGATCTAGTAACTTGAGTCCTTGAATATGCTGAAGGCCTTGATTTGTTCCCTCGCGCTGGCTGGACTATTGCTGTTGGTTGTCGCGTGCAGGTTGGAACAAACACCACGAACCAGATTACCCGCGACCACATGGCCGCCCAGGCCGTACTGACTGCACACTACTTAGACGTCGCCCTGGACGCGGTAAAGTCGACCGAGGAAATCAACGCAGTCCTGATGGAAGTCTCTGATCAGACAATCATTTCCGAGTTCTGGATCATCGACAGCGAGGGACGGGTGGAATATACGAATATGCCTGAGGTGGACTTTACTTGTCCCCACCGACCCCGACTCCGACACCCAGGCTGCCTCGTTCGCCAAGTTGCTGCAGGGTACCGAAAGCATCGTCGCGCAGGACGCAGAGAGGCGAGAACTGGACGACGTCATCTACCAATACGTGGGTGTAGCAGGAGTGGACAAGCCGCGCATTGTCCAGGTCGGGATCGTACGACTGGAGTAGTTACTCAGGAAAATAGCTGCAACCACCAAGCACCAGGTGCCACAAGTGAATCGATGGCTAAACCTCTCAGATTCGCGATTTCCGCGGGACAGCCGTCGGGGTGCTCGGGTAACCGCGTGGACAGTCTCTAAACCGTACGAAGGTCGAAACCTTGATTGCAAGGCGGCATCGGCAGGACAGCGGGATATCCTACCTGCCTCTGAGCGGCCGGCCCCCTGGGTCCCTGCGACTCGCCTCCCGTCCAGTGCAGGCCATAAGAGCCAGAATGCGGCATTCTTCACAATTATTTTAGGTGTCTCTGCTCAATCAGCCAGAACTCCCTAAAGTCCACGCCCGGCACCCCCGCACTGAACATTTGCCTGACAATGCAAAGAACTGCACACTGATTGCAGAGGTGTACCAACGCGGGGGTTGGCCGCCTTAGCCCAGCCTAGCCGATATATTCGATTGACGGAAATCGTCGCAGGCCATAGACTTGAATTGACTATGGCTGAGGTGGCCCGGCAGCGCTGAGCGCCGGTTAAAGCCGACATCAGCGGAGCGCCAATTGCCAACTAAAGGTAGATAGCATGGCCCGACTCTTCGACCTGCATATCCACACCACCAAGGGCAGCAGCGACAGCAGCCTCACCCCCGAGGACATGGTCCTCGAGGCCGACCGCCTAGGTCTCCGGGGCCTCTGCATCACTGAGCACGCCGGACCTTGGGACCGGCACGAGTTCAGAAGTTCGCCGCCCTCCACAGCGTGATCCTCATCCGCGCCATGGAGGTCGAAACCGACATGGGCCACATGCTCGCCTTCGGACTAGACCGCTACCAGGCTGGCTTTAACAAGGCCGCTGAGCTGCGCAAGGCAGCCACCGCCGCCGGAGGATTCGTCATCACCGCCCACCCCTTCCGGGGAGTCCTCAGCAGCAACGGCAATCGCTCCCGTGCCCTGATCTACCAATCCGTTCCCGACGAGTTACCCCAGTCGCCCGAAGATGCCCTCGACCATCCGGTGTTCAAGCTCGCTGACGCCGTTGAGGTCGCAAATGGCGGCACCATCGATCGGGAAAACGACTTCGCGGTCAAGGTTGCCCAACTTCTCCACAAGCCGGTCACCGGCGGCAGCGACGCCCACTCCCTGCACGGGCTGGGCAAGTTCGTAACCGAATTCAACGACGAAATCACCACCGAGGCCGAGTTCCTCAAGGCACTCCACTCCGGCCAGTATCACCCGGTTACCGGCCTCCGCCACGGCGCCATCAAGCGATATTCCGCCTGAACCGCCAGGCGAATTTACTGACATTTCGGCGTCGAACCCCAGCAAGCTCCGTGCTACACTTTATGTCGCCTCGCGCAGGGGCGGTAAGGGTATGGGAGTGACATGACCCAGCAGCAGTTGAGCGGCGGTATGGGTCGGGACCACCGGCTGGTTTCCCCGCTGGATCAGGTCTACGTTTCCCTCGATCTGGAAAACGACTGGCCTCGACTCAGAACGCGACACTATCCTCGAGATTGGCGCGGTGCGCTTCCGCGGCGACCAGGTTCTCGACACCTTCGAGACCTTCGTGAACCCCGGCCGCCCCATCCCGGACCACATCCAGCGGCTGACCGGCATCCAGCCCCGCCAAGTGGAGCGCGCTCCATCCTTCCACAGTATCTCCGGAGAATTCACGGAATTCCTGGGTCCTCACCCAGTGGTGGGGCACAACGTCCAGTTCGACCTGCGATTCCTTGCCTCTCACGGCCTCCCAGTGGCCAACCAGGCCTTTGACACCATGGACATGGCCACTGTCTTCCTGCCCCGGTCGCGCCGCTACTCCCTCAAGCATCTCGCCGACCACTTCGGGGTTGAACTGCGTAACCACCGTGCCCTCGACGACGCCGTCGGCGGCAAGGAGCTGTTTGTCAGGCTGCTGCGGCTCGCCGGGGAGCAGGACGGCGGCCTTCTCGCCTACATGTCCGAGCTGGCGCGGAGAAGCAGTTGGACACTCCACCCGGCACTGTCCGGCCTTGCCTCGACGCAGTCGTCAGGGCCTGCGTCCGTTGGCCCTTCTGGCCTCAACCTCGACCCTGCTGGCCCATCGGGTCGAACCCCCGGAGAGGCGTCGTCCCAACGAGGATCTCGACTACCTGGATCAGAAACGAATCCACGGCATGCTGGGCCCGGACGGCCCATTCGCCAAGGCCTTCAACGGCTTCGAGCACCGCGCGGAGCAGGAACAGATGCTCGACGCCGTTACCGAAGCCATCTACGGCCAGCAACACTTGGTGGTCGAGGGTGGGACAGGCGTCGGAAAGTCCCTGGCTTACCTGCTGCCGGCGGCCCTGTTTTCCGTTTCACAGGGCCAGCGCGTGGTGGTGTCGACCAACACCATCAACTTGCAGGAACAGCTCATAGCCAAGGACATCCCGGCCCTGAAGAGTGTCCTCGAGCAATCGGGCATCCTGCAGCCGGGAGATCTCAGGGCCACGTTGCTCAAGGGCAAGGCCAACTACCTCTGCCTGCGCCGCTGGCAACAACTCTCCCGCAGCGATGCGCTCAGCGTTGATGACGCCCGACTCCTGTCCAAGACGGCTCTGTGGCTGCAGGATACGTCGTCCGGAGACCGGGGCGAGATCAACCTGAACGGCCGCGAAATATCGACGTGGAACCATGTTTCAGCGGGTGAAAGAGGCTTCTGCCTCGACATGCGGGATGGCTCTCCGTGCTTCGTGCGCGCCGCCAGGCAACGCGCAGAGCAAGCTCACATCATTATCGTGAATCACGCCCTGTTAATGAGCGACCTCGTTTTCGGTGGCCTGATCCCCGACTACGACACTGTCATCATCGACGAGGCCCACCACCTGGAGGACGCTGCAACCAACCAGTTCGGTTTTGAGCTTGCCCAGGGAGACCTTGAGCGCACGTGGGAGTCCGCAGGGCGATTGGCCCGCGACGTGAGGCAGGCACTCGCCGCCGACGGGCTCGAGGCCTCGGCCGTCGATGTCGGGCACTCGGCCATGACCGCAGTGGAAACAGAGGGCCCACGGTTGCGCCAGTCCTGGGACCAGTTGTTCAGCGCCCTGGAGGCTTTGCACATCGATCAACGCCGGGGCCGAAACCAGGGCGATCAGAATCAGGTGTTGATCACTCCAGATGTTCGAAGTACACAGGCCTGGGCCAATCTGCATCTGGTCTGGGACAACCTGAACACCCGGCTGGGCCAAGCCGGAATCGCCCTGAGGAACCTCCGCAGCTTCCTCGACGGCAATCCGCTCCCCGGCGCGGCAGACCAGCAGGCGCTGGAAATGGAGGCAATCTCACTGGCCGACGATCTGTCGGAGCTGGCCAATCACTTGGCATCCATCCTGGACCAAGCGCCTGAAGACGCAATTCATTGGGTCAACGTAAATCCTGCCCAGTCGACCATCTCACTCCACTCTGCCCCCCTGGACGTGAGTCCCATCCTCGCGGAGAAGCTGTTTGCCGAGAAAGACTGCGTAGTCCTGACCAGCGCCACCCTGACCACGGGAAAGAGCTTCGAGTTCCTGAAGCGCCGGGTTGGCGTCGAAGGTGAGACTCCGGAACTGCTGGTGGGATCACCCTTTGATTACGAGAGGGCTGCCCAGGCACTGATCCCTGACGACATGCCGCAACCCAACGCCAACGGCTACGTGGCGGCCACCGCCGATGTCCTGGCACAGTTGGGCCTCAAGCTGCAAGGCCGGACCATGGCGCTCTTCACGTCCCACTCCTCTCTCCGGGCGGTCGCACAACGGCTGCGACCCATGCTGGAACCCCACGGGATTCCGGTGCTGGCCCAAGGCGTCGATGGCTCGGCTCCGTACCTCATGGCAGCATTCGGAGAGGAACCCGGCAGCGTGCTGCTCGGCACCGCCAGCTTCTGGGAGGGGGTGGACATGCCGTCGGGCCTGCTCAAGGCACTGGTCATCACCCGCCTCCCCTTTCAGGTGCCCAGCGACCCAATCGTTCAGTCCCGTTCGGGCCTCTACGGGGACC